CCCGCCCCCGCGCGTCGCCACGTAAACACGCGTCGGGTGCGCCTACGCATGAAAACGACGAACGCGCTACACATGTTGGGTATCGCCACGCACGCCGGAGTGAGAGCAATAATTCTAGGGCCAGTATTTTGGGGTATCTCTAAATTAATGACCTGTGGGGGCTTTTAAAGTGTCTTATTGACTTTTTGGGGTACTGCAGTTTTTCGCCGTTTCACGGTCGCACGCAATCTGTAAACTGGGCATGTTGGGTATCGTTTTACTCGTTGTATTATTTGTAATATTTCATTAAAAAAATGGGTAATTTGTTGTGTTTTGGGGCATTTAATTAAATTTGTCACTAAATTTTGGGGTTTAATAAGGAGTTGCGCTAATATTGCGCAACATAGAAATTTTCAACTACCACCATTTTATTCTATAGGGTCTTGGCATTCAGAAAATAATGTTGGGGGGTTTTACGTAATTTTCAGGCCTAAAATGTGGAATATAACATGGGTGCAAAAATTGAAAAAAGGGCCTCAGTCATGAAGGGGTTAAAGGGGTACCCCAATGTGCATAAACACCCCCCCTGCCTGCACCCCCAAAGCCAACGCCCCAGAACTCGTGGGGAAGAGGCCCTTGTCCCCATCGGCACGGGGACAAGGTGCTTTTCCAGAGACGACCCTGGAAATGTACCTTCCCAGTGCCGAGGGCACGTAGCCTGGTATGGCAGGGGGTGGTGCGCTCACTCGTCCCCTTTTTTAAGGGGTCCCCCAGGCACGATATTTAAACAAATTTTTCAATTTTATTGTTTCATTTTAAGCGATGTTAAAATCACTGCTACTTTAAAAACTGTATTTTTTAAAAGTTTTTTTCATTGATACATGCCGCCCAGGTCAGTACCCGGATCCCCATACCCTTTTTATGGCCAGTAACTTGGAAGTTCTAGTTCCTTAGACTTGCATTGTGTTTGATGTTCGAATTCTAACTTTTTCCATGTTCTAAAGTTCAAACTCGGGTGTGTTCGGACCATCACTGTTCACAGGTCATCCAGGACAATTCATAAGATGTGGTCACCGGAAATTATAGTTTGCAAGTCATCCAGCCTACCAAGCTAAATATCAGAGGAGAAAGCATTCTTGGGTGCATTTGTACCAATGTCTGTTTGAGTTCCTCAGGATTCCTGAAACCAATGATGCTCTTTTATGCAAATACAAATTTTGCTTCTGACAATTTATCGCATGCATGCTCCCTACACCTAGATATTGGTTATTGGGTACAATGGGGCAGTCTCAATAACCAACTGCTAGGAAGCAAGGTCAGTATTTGTATATCAAAGTGCCCTGAGTTTTAGAGGATACAAATATATTTACTTGCAGCCACCTGTGTGTGTCTTCTTCTCTATTGTGGACTAAGGACTTTATAACTTGCTTTAAAAACTCAGGTAGCACCATTCCTCCACGCCACCACACACTACTGCTACGATGTTGCAGGCTTTTACCCAACAGCTAAAGAAGCCACCTACTACTACATTGAAGCAGAGAGGAGAGAACAAGATGTGGCAGCTTCGGGAATGCTGCTCTGGAATGAAGAGACTTCCAACCCATTGAAAACTTGAAAATCCATATCAAGTTGTGTCCATCAATTTGATTTTGGATGTCGCATGGAGTAGACTGCAGCAGACACTCAGTAGGAACAGACACTTGATACAAAAGCTGCAGTTCAGCAGGAATCTCAGTGACTTATAGGGTAGATGGGTACTTCACACCCATCTCACTGGCCACTAGCGACTGAAACGGCAAAGTCCATTCTTACAGGTGCATGTGCACTATCCATTCATTGAGGGCAAGTAACTTAAAGTGGCACTAAACTCAGGAGTTAAACCTTTAAGAATGCATTCAAGTACCTTACCTAGGAACAAAAATGTAGCTTATTTGTATACCAATATACCAAGACAATGAGACTGTCACAGGTTGGCTCAGTAGATCGGGAGGTGAGCGAACACATACCGGCGTTCACTCACCTCTCGATCCTGTCATGGCTCTCTGCCGTGACAGGGGAGGGGCTGGATTCCCCCCTCCTCACTCCGATCCGCCAGCGCTGACTGGCGGAACGGACGAGGGAGGGTACAGCTGGCTCTGCCTCTGGATAGGCAGAGCCAGCTGTCAGTCACGCTCGCAGCTGCTCGCGGTATACTGCGGCATCTCAGTATACCGTGAGCTACAGCTCGCGGTATACTGAGCCTAGGGTGACGGGAGGACGCTAGTTTGTGTCCTCCCGTTACCCTAAGGAGAACTATGGGGAAAAGACTTAACCCCATAGTTCTCCTTTAAGTGACAGAGCCACAGCTTACCAGTCCTTAGCCACTCACTGTACTGTAGCTATTGTGAGATTTAGCTTCAAATGGTAGTGCATTAAGGACATAGTCCACTCACAAACATGGTCTTTTTAGGGCTTCCTGCCCACTTTTTATTTAAAAGTTCACACAAGTTTTCCCTCACAGGGGTTTCTCCAACATAAGAACATAACTTTAGCTTTGTCTTTAAGCAAAATAACGTTTTTGAAAGTCTCGCCGACTTCAGGTTACTTTAAACCTCTCCCAAACAGACTTGCCACACAGGCTGTATCCAGCAGAATTGCCACACAGGCTGGTTCCAGGATGGAGTACTCCTGACTGCTGGACAGACACCTCCCTTGTCTTCCAGCTGGAACCCTGAACCTGAACCAGCATCCTTTTCATAAGGGCCGTGCACAGGTGCACAATCTTGTGCTGGTCACCGCTAAAGCCCGGGCCCAGGAATGGAGATTTCATCCCTCCCAGTTCTCTTAGAAATCTCCCAGTTCCAGGATCCCAGTTATAATTTAGAAAACCCGGAAAGAATTGTAAAGCCAACTCTTTCCTGCTAAAAGTACTTTCCTTTCCTGGAGCTGCTCAGCCCCTCTGGCTGAGAGTCCTGGGTGGCCATTTTGCCAAACTACATAGTGGCATTGCCATGCTCTGCCACACTATGGATGAGAAGTATTTTTGCCCTAAGACAAGAAGTTTGTTAGTACTACAGAACATCTCCCACTCATCTCCATAACATACATGAGGGTGTTATGTAATCGACAGGGATGAACTGAGCAGGACTTATGATAGTGCATGAGATAATACTATAGACTTCACAGGACAGAACTGGATTTCTGGCAGGATCAGCAGGACAGACAGATATTCCAAAACACTTTCTATGGTATATTTATTAGGCCAAAAGGGAGCAAATCAGAGATGTTTATCTTTATGATTTAAATACACTTAAAGGTATTATTTTGTATTTTTTTTTACATCTGCTGGAGTTCACATTTACCTTGCTAAAACAGTCTATAGAAAGATGTTACTATTTGATTTATTTGATCTGACTGTTTGATTTATTATAATTATATATTATTATTATTTATTGCTTCTTTGTATCTCCTAGAATCCATGCCCGGTGTCTGATGCTTCTTTTATTTCCCAAATTACATTCAGCTGGTTTACAGAGTGAGTAAAACAAAATTTTACATTTGCTAGATTTAACCACTTGCCGACGTTAGGACGTGGGCAGTCTTCAATTCAGTTCACCCGTTACAGTGACAAGCAGTCACTGCGATCAGCATGATACACTGTAACAGGCAATGATTCAAATCATTGCCTGACAGCGCTGATCTGAGGTAAGAGCAGTAGATCAGTGCTACAAAGTTTCAAAGTAGTCCCAGTGGCTACTTAGTGTTCCAAAGTAATAATTTTAAAAAAATCTTTATTTAAAAAAAAAAAATTAAAACCCTTTCATTGCTGATCACAGTTTTATAACTGATCACTCTGATCAGTACGATAGTACTGTTCAGGATTATTGTGTTTTTTCTTCTTTTTTTCGTTAATTGTACCCATTTTTAATAATTGTATTTTTAAAAAAAAATCAACCCCTTCAGCACTAATCACAGTTTTTTTCAGTTTTGTCAAATACAATTATGGGTGTTTTATTGCAGTAAAATGTATCGGTATTATGATATTCCCAATGAAAATGTCTTAATTTCTCATAAATGGTTACATTTTATTCATATATAATTACAGTTCATTTATAAATATTTGATGTCAAACAAAAGCCCTATTTGTTCTCTAAAAAAACAATATATAATATAAAAAAGAGGTAAATTATGGTTAAAGAGACATATAGCTCAAATTCTGTTTTGTTTGCGTTCAGAACTTGGGCAATTGCCACTGTCCTTAAGGGGTTAAATGTTGTATATGGCAGTTCTAATAAATAATATAAATAAAGTCATGTTTGCAGTGGAAATGTAGTGTTCATGCACATAATACAGGCTCTATCAATTATCAACCTAGATATAAACATACTCCATGAGGAGGAGGCTATTTTGATTCTAATTAGTCAACACAGTGGAGTAACTACCCTGACTGTAGCGGTCGCTATGGGGCCCAGGGCAGAGGGGGGCCCAGTGGCGGCAGTGGAGGAGGAGGCTGGGGCCCAGTGGCAGTGGTGGAGGAGGAGGAAGCCGGGCCCAGCAGCGATGGAGGAGGAGGCCGGAACATGGTGGTGGTGGAGGAGGAAGGGGGCTGGTAGTGGTGGAGGAGACCGGGGCCCAGCAGCATCGGTAACCTGTCCGGTGTGGTGGAGGAGGCCGAGGAGGCTGGAGCCCAGCAGCGGGTGGCTCGCGGCTGACAGGTAAGTGGAGTGCAGGGAAAGGGACCCTCGACCAGCCCGCCTGAGACCCTGCAGAGCCCACCATAGAAAGTCTATAGTGGGCTCTGCAGGGTCACTCTCAGGTGGTCTGTGAGGGGTCTCAAGTGGCTGTGCGGGGCCTACGGTGGACTCTGCGAGGTCTATGGTAGGCTCTGCAGGGTCACTCCCAGGTGGGCTGTGCAGGGTCTCTGGTATGTGCGGGGTCTCAGGTGGGCTCTGCAGGATCTCACTGTGGGATCTATGGTGGGCTGTGTGGGATCTATGGTGAGCTGTGCAGGGTTTAAGGTGAGCTCTGCTGGGTCTTCGGTGGGGGTCTGCGGGGTCCATGGTGGGCTCTGCAGGGTCACTCTCAGGTGGGCTGTGTGGGGTCTCTAGTATGTGTGGGGTCTCTAGTATGTGTGGGATCTCAGGAGGGCTCTGCAGGGTCTCAGGTGAACTCTGCGGGGTCTATGGCAGGCCCTGCAGGATCTTTGGTGGGCTCTGCAGGGTCACTTTCAGGTGGGCTGTGTGGGGTTTCAGGTGCCCTCGGCCGGGTCTCTGGTATGTGCTGGTTCTCAGTTAGTCTGCAGTGTCACTTTCGGGTGGGCTCTGCAGGGTCACTCTCAGGTAGGCCTTGTGCTGGGTCTCAGGTGGGCTGTGCAAGGTCTCAGATGGGCTGTGCAAGAAATCAGGTGGGCTGTACGGGGTCTCTTGAGGGGCTATGCGGGGTCTCTTGAGGGGCTATGCGAGTTCTCTGGTGGGCTCTGCAGCAGTGAGCGATGACATCGGAACCAGCAGTAACAGAGCTGAAGAGTAGGAGACGGAGATGGCGCAGGCACAGGAATGTGTTCTGGAGGTAGGTACCTTTTTTTGGGTGGCGGGGTGGTTTGAGGGGCCCCTGAGTTCACACACTATTAATCACTCTTTCATTTTACTGGGAGCACTCATTTTGCCAGAACATCACCCCTTCAGGTAGAATCTTGAATTGAGGTTCATCCATTCAGAAGTAACAGTACTCTATACCATTATATCTGAGATTACAGAGTGATCTGCTAAATAGTTATAATACAGGAAGGCTCCTCTTTTATCCTCCACAACCATAACAGAATTGTATAGATGGAATTGGCTCACTTTATGGTTACCATTGTGGTTATATAAATGAGATTGATGATTCTTTTTATTTTTGAATAGGTAATTTAACTTTAATCAGCAACCTAGCTGTAAAAAAAGTCTTTAAAACTATAGATTAGTTCAATTTTAATCCAAGGCTCAACTTTTTAATCTATCTGATGAATGGTGTGCTGACTCTGGAGAGCAGATTGGAGTGTTCCCTAGAGCAGTGGTTTTCAACCTGTGTAACCTCAGGACCCATATTTGTCCTTGGTCATTAAGTCGCGACCCAAGTGGCACTGCACTGGAATGCAGGCGGTTGCAGTACCGGGCGTCCGCATGCAGGCAATTGGACTGTGGGTGGGAGGTGCGTTTGGGGTGCCATTCAAATTAATGACATCGCAATACACCTCCCACACCAGAACGCGCAGTAGGTGCGATTGCATAGTACAGTGCAATAATCACATGGGACTGTTCGATTATTGCATTGTACTAGTGTGAACAGACACTCAAAAACACTGTCAGACACACACAACCACAGACACAATCTCACACACTCACAGACATGCTCTCACACACAAACACCCTCCAAAATATAAAAAAAAACAGTTGAGAACCAAGGCTCTTGAGTAACTGACCAAACTTTTGTAGTTTCTAAGCTTCTTGTTAATCCTTTGCTCCATACGTCTCAGTGAAACATCATAGGCGTTTCAATATCAGTTTAGGGATCATGGCAAGAAGAGATAAACCTCTCTGTCTAGCTTGAAGAAGATGAACTGGAAGCATTGAAAGCCAATAAAGATAACGTTGTCAGGAACAGACTCGTACAGACCTAGAAAGTAAACATAATAAATGTGACAACATATTACTTAAAAATCTGTAGCAAAACACAGCTAGCTAATGATTTTTGAAACCTGGAGGAAGCCATAATGATTATTAGTCACTCTAGGCAGCATAGGCACTCCACTTTTTTCATTTTGTATTAATCAAGCCAGTTACCATACCAGCCTTATAATTGGTCATATTTATTAGTGCAAAGAGCAAAGGTAATATGCATAGTACAGCAGCCAATGAGATTTTACTTTGCTGTAGTAATAAATATAATTTCAAATGAGTTGCTATGGATTATTGTTTTATACAGCAGATGCTCTTACAGCAGATGCAATCTTAAAATAGTGGCTGATATACACAACATCTACCATTTGAAAGATAGTTTCCAGCTTAGAGAAAATAATATATTTAGGCCTCTTTCACATGGGTACTGTCTGTTCCAATCAGCGCAGATCCCCTGCTGATCATAGCAGTATGGAACAAATGTCACATTTGTGATGTCTGTGTCCGTTTTTCTTTTTTTCTTTCCATCTTGAGATGAAGGACAAAGCTGGACTAAATGGTTTTAGGTTTATGTGCAGTGGGATGTAAGCAGGCATTTACAACCAATTACCTCAGATCTGTCCCGTTCAGGTCTGTTCTGTTTTTTTTTTCCGGACCTAGACAGACCTAGACATGGTTTCTCGTACAAACCATGACAAAGTTATTTACAAAAAAAATTCACTTTTTAATGTTGTGCATTTTCTGTGGCACGGAAAAAAAGTAACAAACAAAACAAATGGAAGCAATAAATAAACTAAATAATGAATAAACTAAATAAATACAGAGATATAAATGGTAAGGCTTATTAGGGTAAAAAAAGGAATACATTTATTTATGGTAAGGTTTCTTTTAGTGATGTCAGTTCATATTTAGATCAATGGTCACACCTTTGGAATGTAATAGTAAATACAATTAAAAAAAAATACATTGATGTATTTTCTCAATGACAGGTGCAGACTATTTTACACTGGAGCAGCTGCATTTTGACAGCCACTCCTGCAGTGTATTTCAAAACTAAGATAGGCTGTCTTTTTGACAGCTGCTTATTGCTTTTAATAGTGGTGGCAGGGGGAGAGGAACTGGATGTACAGATGTGTCCTGAAAACTTTGTTGATGTTTTTTAGGACATATTTCGTACGTTCAAAATCCTCACGTGGTTAATGACCAGAGCCTAGATACCCAGAGCAAATTGTACAGTTTCCGTATGAACTGGTAACTTGACAATAACTGGCTAATCTGACTACCTAAATAATATATTTTTTTAAAGAACATACAGTATATAAGGTTTATATTTGGTACACTGATTTAATTAATACTTTGCTCAAGTTTGTTATTGTAGGTAGGCAAACAAACAAAAATGTGAAAAAATGCATAAAAAATGAAAAAAAAACATGCACAATTGGTGTACTAATTTCTTCTCACATTTGATGTTTTTTTTTAAGAATAATGTTCAGAGGTTACAAACAACCATTAAAAGTTGAAGATATTTGGTCTCTGAGGAAATCAGACACAGCTGAACAAATTTTACAGAGGTTCTCAAAAGAGATACAGAAGGAATGGTATAAAACCAAGCCGTAAGTGCCTTTGGATTTCAAAAAAATACTGTATATATAATTTGTATTCACATTTTTGGTAAGCTAACCATTGCTTTCTCTTGTGAACATTTTACATTTTGTATACACATTTATGTGCTCTAATCTTTACTCTCGGACATGAGTAGGTTATTGGGAATAGACCCTGCACAGTTGCTGCATTGCTAGAGCATTTCTCCCTGCAAGGAGGTAATCACCACAGTCTGCACAGATAGTGTTAAAGCTGTGAAGAGACTTGATTTGTTGAGAGAGATCACTGCAGCAGAGATTTATTGGTGTAGTGCTGAGGCAGGGAGAAACTATGTTACTTTGTGCAGAGTAAACTCCAGCTCTATCATGTACCTGGTAGGGAGACCAAATGTTTGAGGAGGCTTCTCTTGCACCTCGTGTCTTGTGGCCTTTGATGTTGATGACAGAGGCCAGGCAGACAATGAGTGGCACAAGTGCTCAGGGAAATCCAGTAATCGAGGTCACAGCAAGCCGGGTTCATAAGCCAGGAGATCAGATGCGGTACAAAAGGGAGCAGGCAGAAGAATATCCAATAAACGGTCCGAGGTCAAAAAGGCAGGCAGCAAGCAGGGATGGTTGTCAAACGGGAACAGGTAAAAATCCAGGGAGTTCAGGTGCATACGGGACAAGGCAAAACAGGATACAAGTACAAGGAACACACCCAAGCTGAAAAGACAAACCAGCAACTAATGGGCGTGTGAACTGGGCTTAAATAAGGAAGTGAGTCAATCACTCATGCCACTTCCTGTGCGCCCTTTGGCGCGTCTTTCTGCGCCGTATGCGCGTCACTTCCGGTGCCGGTTCCGGTGTCTGTCCGTGAGAAGGGCGTGCTCTACGCATGCGGGCGCTCGTCCTCCTTGGCGCATGCGCAGAGCGGGTCTTTTGCTGAGAGACCCCCCTCCGATGGGCAGCCTCCGGATGCCAACCCGGGCAGGACGAGTAGGAGCCCTTTGGAGGAATTGACGAACCAGTTCGGGAGCGTGGACATGGGCCGCAGGTTCCCACGAGTTTTCCTCAGGCCCATAACCCTTCCATTTAAGGAGGAAGCGGCGGGATGCTGCAGTCCCACGACAATCAAGAATAGCCTCCACCTCGTATTCCTTGCTGCCATCGACCATCAAGGGAGACGGCGGACCGTCACCCCTCTCCCCAAAAGGGTCTGGGACCAGGGGTTTCAGGAGGGTTTTCCATTCATGAAAAAAATCCTAATCAAATCATTGATTAGTGGAAGAAAGTAAAAAAAAAAAAGTTTGAATACTTGCTTATACAAGCTTTATCCTCTCAAGGATGAGGAAGTGAGCCGCTTAGCCCCACCCCATTAGTGATGCTGCTGGCGTGACATGGCACATTACCTATGGAAGACATAATTTCCTTTAGGGACCCTTTGGATCACAAGGCTGATCTCAATCTTAAAAGAGCCTATTTGGCTTCGGGAAGCACCTGCCATCCAGCAGTCGCCCTAACTTTAGTCTTAAGGGCTATTTCCGCCTGGACCAACAGCATAGAGAATGCTCTTAGAACGGAGGTGGACCGAGACCACATTATTTCAGCTCTGCAAGACTTTAAATTATTGACGATTTTGTGGGAGAAACAGTGATTGATGTGATTCACTATTCTTCCAACCTATGACTTTGATGTTGATGACAGAGGCCAGGCAGACAATGAGTGGCACAAGTGCTCAGGGAAATCCAGTAATCGAGGTCACAGCAAGCCGGGTTCATAAGCCAGGAGATCAGATGCGGTACAAAAGGGAGCAGGCAGAAGAATATCCAATAAACGGTCCGAGGTCAAAAAGGCAGGCAGCAAGCAGGGATGGTTGTCAAACGGGAACAGGTAAAAATCCAGGGAGTTCAGGTGCATACGGGACAAGGCAAAACAGGATACAAGTACAAGGAACACACCCAAGCTGAAAAGACAAACCAGCAACTAATGGGCGTGTGAACTGGGCTTAAATAAGGAAGTGAGTCAATCACTCATGCCACTTCCTGTGCGCCCTTTGGCGCGTCTTTCTGCGCCGTATGCGCGTCACTTCCGGTGCCGGTTCCGGTGTCTGTCCGTGAGAAGGGCGTGCTCTACGCATGCGGGCGCTCGTCCTCCTTGGCGCATGCGCAGAGCGGGTCTTTTGCTGAGAGACCCCCCTCCGATGGGCAGCCTCCGGATGCCAACCCGGGCAGGACGAGTAGGAGCCCTTTGGAGGAATTGACGAACCAGTTCGGGAGCGTGGACATGGGCCGCAGGTTCCCACGAGTTTTCCTCAGGCCCATAACCCTTCCATTTAAGGAGGAAGCGGCGGGATGCTGCAGTCCCACGACAATCAAGAATAGCCTCCACCTCGTATTCCTTGCTGCCATCGACCATCAAGGGAGACGGCGGACCGTCACCCCTCTCCCCAAAAGGGTCTGGGACCAGGGGTTTCAGGAGGGTTTTCCATTCATGAAAAAAATCCTAATCAAATCATTGATTAGTGGAAGAAAGTAAAAAAAAAAAAGTTTGAATACTTGCTTATACAAGCTTTATCCTCTCAAGGATGAGGAAGTGAGCCGCTTAGCCCCACCCCATTAGTGATGCTGCTGGCGTGACATGGCACATTACCTATGGAAGACATAATTTCCTTTAGGGACCCTTTGGATCACAAGGCTGATCTCAATCTTAAAAGAGCCTATTTGGCTTCGGGAAGCACCTGCCATCCAGCAGTCGCCCTAACTTTAGTCTTAAGGGCTATTTCCGCCTGGACCAACAGCATAGAGAATGCTCTTAGAACGGAGGTGGACCGAGACCACATTATTTCAGCTCTGCAAGACTTTAAATTATTGACGATTTTGTGGGAGAAACAGTGATTGATGTGATTCACTATTCTTCCAACCTATGTTGACCACCGTCACGGCAAGACGGGCGTTATGGCTGAAGCCTTGAGCTGCAGGCTCGTCTTCAAAATCCAATTGGTGTCGTATTCCCTATGATTGAACCAACCTTTTTGGTGGAAAGTTGGATAGTGCAATTTCCAAAGTCACAGGAGGCAAGTCCGGGCTTTTACCGCCGTTATAAGTTCCAGGCAAACAGAAGGTCCACTCTTCCCAGGATGGCCAAACAGGGCATATCTTCTTCCGTTCAGAAAGCCAAGAGGTCTTTTTGATGGTGTACCTGTCTTCATCACTTTGCCAATGTTTGCGAAGAACAGATCATGGAACCTTGGGTTTCTGCCACTGTCAGGCACGGCCACAAATGGTCTTTTAGAAGAAGTCCTCCTTGAGATCAGTTTGTCCAAACCCGTCTCACATTCTCCTAAGATTAAGCTACTCTGTTTTGTCAGTATGTAATCTGTCTAGTTCAGAAGGGAACTATTTGTCCAGTTCCAAGAAAAAAGCAATATTCCAGTTTTAATTTGCCTCTCTTCTTAGGGAAGAAGACGGGAGACCTCAGGCCGGTCTTGGATCTAAAAGTATTGAACAAACGCATTAAAGTCCTTACATTCCATATTGAATCTCCTCAATTGATTGTTCCTACAATTCAACTTTAGAATTGGATGTCCCCAATCTACCTCTCAGATGCGTACCTACATATACCCATACATCAGAAGTTTCCAAAATTCCAGCTTCGCAGTAGTTGGCAATTCATGTGTCTCCCATTTGGCATTTCTACAGCGCCTCGGACATTTACAAAGATACTTCTTCCACTAATTGCTCTTTTCAGACTGAGAGGCATTTGTGTGAACCATTACCTTGACGATATCCTACTCATGGCCCTGAGTCATCACACTATCCTGGAGCATCAAGATTTTCTGATTACAGCCCTCAACAGTTCGGTTGGTTAAAAAATTTCGAAAAATCTCATACCGTCCCAGAGACTGATATTTCTGGGTGCTCTTCTGGATACCACTCAAAACGCAAAATCCCTTCTGTCGGAGAAGATCTCCAGCATTCAACTCAAAGTCCGCAATGCAATTTTGTCCCCATTAATGCGAGCATACAAGTGCCTGAGCCAGCGGGACAAGGTAGACATACACCAGAAAATAGTGATTACCTATTTAATGAAGAAGTCACTGTGGTAGTGGACACACAAGAAGAATCTTCTTCACTATCACCATATTAAGCCCGTACAGCCTGCAATAATAACATCGGACACAAGCCGTTTGCACTGGGGTGCACAATACGCAGATCTTGCAGCCCAGGTGGTATGGCCAAAATGGAGAAATGATGTGTGAAAAACTAAGTACACCCTTATCGCTTCCATTGGAATTAAGAGGCTATGTAGCAGCTAGGTGCTACTAATCAAATGCCCTTGATTAATTAATCATCAGCAAATGTGTGACTACCTCTATAAAAGCCAAAGTTTTAGCAGTTTGCTGGTCTGGGGCATTCAGGTTGTTTGCGTTAACACAATCTCAAGGTGGCAAGACATCAGCAATGATCATGGAGAAGCAATTGTTGCTGCCCATCAATCTAGGAAGGGTTATAAGGCCCAAATAGTTTAAAGTCCATTTTTCTACATTGACGAAGATTAATCACAAGTGAAAAACATTCAAGACAGTTGCCAATCTTCCCAGGAGTGAACATCCCAAGCGTTACATCTCAGACTCTACAGACCTCAGTTAACATGTTAAAGTTCATGACAGTTCAATTTAAAAAAAGACTGGACAAGCACAGTTTGTTTGGAAGGGTTGCCAGAAGAAAAGCCTCTTCTCTTTAAAAATAACATGGCAACATGGCTTAGGTTTGCAAAGTTGCATCTGAACAAACCACAAGGCTTCTGGAACAATGTCCTTTGGAGAGATAAGACTAAAGTGGGGATGTTTTGCCATAATGCACAGCACCAAATTTGGCAAAAACCAAACCGCATATCAGCACAAACACCAACTGTCAAGCACGGTGGTGGAGGATGATGATTATGGCTTGTTTGGCAGCCACAGGACTTGGGGACCTTGCAGTCATTGAGTCAATAATGAACTAATCTATATACCAAAGTATTCTAGAGTCAAATGCTAGGTCATCTGTCCGACAGCTAAAGCTTGAATGAAATTGGGACATGCAACAGGAAAATGATCCCAAGCACACCATCAGATCTACAACAGAATGGATGAAAAAGAAAAGAATTAAATTGTATTTCCACTTTCGCAGTCAAATTGGGATAACACCTATTTTATATGTGGTACCATTTACATTGCATAAGCTAAAATAAAAATTGAAAAAATGCTGCCTACAGTTTAAATTTCTTTTCTTTAGAGTAGGGTTTTAAGGGTTAAAATGTATTCTTTTATTAAGAAATGTATTAAAAGAAGTTAAAATAATAATGTTTCCTTTATATAATTTACCAGGCTGGAGGTACGCACTACATTCCCTAAGCCAAATGTGAATAAAGACACTAAGATCTTTAACGAAGATGAAACTGAAGTGCTGCTGAAAAGTCCAAGCATGCAGATGAACAATCACTCACTTGTAAAGATTATCTTCAAAGTTTTTGGTCCCTACTACCTGCTGAGTGTCCTGCTAATGGTTCTGTACACTGCATTTCTCTTCATCAGTCCTGAGCTAATGAGGTAATCACCCATTTCTCTAAAAAATACCTTAACTGACAAGCGAATGATAAATATGTGGAGTGGATGCCCATAACTGCAGTACCAGTTCTACATTCCAATTATTGTACCATTTTTGAAGTGCTGTTTTTCACCCCATTATCTATAAAAAATATTCCTAACAGATTTGACGACTTTCAAAGTTTTCATGCTGCTTTAGATAGATTAACTAGATCAATAGTTTTCTTGCATAAATGTATTATGGTAAAATGCAATTACAATAGCTGACTAACAAATAGTAAAATATGAAAGCCATTAATTGTGAATTTGGATTGTCTTTTTGTCCTAGAATAAAAGAGAAATTGCTATAGCGTAAAAGGCAGCATTGTGACGTTATCCACGCTAAGTTGCCCAGTTAAACCTGATCTGATCACTGCATCTATTGCACTCTCTCTGCTAACCATTAATCTGTAGTTGGTTTGGATTACTGCACAAAATTATTTATTACACTTTTGCTGTTAAAGGGAAACTTTTGCTGAGAGAAATATATGTACTGGCTTTGATGATATCTCCTTTTGTAAATTGTCTGGCTGTCGTGTGGATGTAATCACTTTTTTTTTAACAGAAATAGTGTTTATTGAATTTTTCACAAGCATAAGAATAAAACAACATACAAAGTAGAACAACATACAAAGGCAGCGTCAGTTGAGCGAACTTGGTAATAGTAGCAGAGCTGTAGACAATAACAACCACCTTAGAAATGTACATGACAATGTGCCCAGATACGAGCCGCACCTTCGCTCAAAGTCTTGACCCCAGCGTGGGGGTTCCAGACTGCTAAAGCTCTCCCCTCCAAGGAGGTCAACATTATTGAGTCAGGCAAGGAAATCAAGGTAACCAAGGGAAGCCCTGCGAGATTCCAGCTACCCTACACATCAGGTGCTGCGCCCCACTTGGAGCCGCCTTACAACACAAACATAACAATCAACTCACAACACCACACGACAAGTGGACAACAGAGGGGCACAAAGACGCACGGAGACACAGGGGAGGAGGAAAGAAGGGGAGAGAAGGAAGGGGAAGGGGGGGGGGGACTCGGATCTCATTAGACGGCAAATTTCCGCAGACCATTCCCCCAGTGTTGGAATCACCTGGGAATTCCAATGTCTCTGGATCAACGCCCTAGCGGTGTTAACAAAGAATCATAAGAGAGATTTCTTTGCCCGAGAGATGGATCCCGGAAATACCGACAGTATTGCCATTTGAGGCGTGAGATGGAGATCACTGGCAGACATTCTTGAGTACACGTGTGAGATGGTTCACCAGAAGGGGACGATCAGAGGGCAGCTCCACCAGATATGTGATAATGTTCCCACCCCTGTGAGGCACCTCCAGCAGGTGTCCGGTAGAGAGGGAAAAATCTGGTGCATCCGAGCTGGGGCCCTGTACCACCTAGTCAGGAGTTTGTAGTTGCGTTCCTGCACCGCTGAAGACATGCAGAGACTATGAGTGAAGCAGAAGCATTTCCGCCTCTCCTCCTCGGAAAGGACCACGCCCAATTCCTGCTCCCATGCGGAGATGAAGTACGGGGATTCCCCTTCGAGCCCAGAGGATAGGAAGTCATACAGAAACGATATAAGATGAGGCGGGGATTCACCTGTTGCGCATAGTTGTTCAAATGCGGTCAGAGAACCTTGCATAGTCCCCTTACAAAATGTTGAAGTTGGTGGTAAGCAAACCACACATTCTGCGGCACAGGGTCAGGGGCCAACAGTTGGTCCAAGGATTGGAGGGATCCCCCGTGCAGTCCCTGAAAGATGTATGAAGGAGCAGTCGCTTCCCAACACAGGAACCCTCGGACCCCGCATCCAGGGGGGAACTCCGGATGTGCCAGGACAGGGGTCATCAAGCCCCTGGATGTTGCTAGTTTGTATTTGAGGACACAAACTAGCGTCCTCCCGTCACCCTAGGCTCAGTATACCACGAGCTGTAGCTCGCGGTATACTGAGACGCCGCAGTATACCGCGAGCTGCTGCTCGCGGTATACTGAGACGCCGCAGCTCAAGCGGATTCCAACAATTAATGCCGCGATCCGCCCAGCTGCGTGACTGACAGCTGGCTCTGCCTATCTAGAGGCAAAGCCAGCTGTACCCGCCCCCTTCCCCGTCCGTTCTGCCAGTCAGCGCTGGCGGATCGGAGCGGGGAGGGGGAATCCAGCCCCCTCCCTGTCACGGCAGAGAGCCGTGACAGGATCGAGAGGTGAGCGAACGCCGGTATGTGTTCGCTCACCTCCCGATCTACTGAGCCGATCTGTGACAGTCTCATTGTCACAGGTCGGCTAGAACTATGAGGTGAGTGAAAAGCACTCGCCTCATAGTTCTCCTTTAAGCTAACACCTTGCTGCTCAGTGCATGCAATTTACAGAAAACTCAGATGCTATATTTGTCCTAGGTAGGGATGCACCGATACCATTTTTTCCAGACTGAGTACGAGTACCGCTACCTTTCCTCAATTATGCGCAGATTCCAATTACTGATACCCTTTTTTTTTATTGTCATGTGACAGTTTTTCTATAACAATACAGACTAATGATTTTAGGACAGTGGTGGAGCATCAGGGCCAGTCCCAGCTGCAAACACTGCGACCCTGGTAGTTTTACCACTGATTCCAAGCTGTAGAGGGACTACAAATCCCAGCAATACATTATACAGAAATGCAGAATGGCAATCGGCTATAAAAAACTACAAATCCCAGCAATAGATTATGCAGCAATGAAGAATAATACGACCAGCTATAGAGGACTACAAATCCCAGCAGTCAGATAACATGGTACCATGGCTGGGATGAGGGGGAATGCTCTGCAGTGAGATAACATGGTACCATGGCTGAGATGAGGAGGAATGCTTTGCAGTCAGATAACATTGTATTTGTACCACCAACTCTGCCCCCCGAATTTTACCTTCCTTGGAGGGGGCTGCATGGTGCCGTTGTCGGGGTGCAGCCTCTTTCCTCCTTTCTAGTGGGTCCTGCAGCCAGTGCCCTGTCAGTGGTCTTAGGAGGTGGAAGATGTGCGGGCCAGCACTGTATACAGGCGCTAGCAAGCTCAGGACCTTACGGCAACCGAATCAATTAAAAAATTGCAAGTGCTGGTATTGGCTTTTCGTATCGGGGCATTTTCACGAATAGTCGTGAAAATGCCCAGTATCAGCACATCTATTTCTAAGTATCCTAAATGTAAAAACAAGACATCAAGATATTCTTGTGCACCTCAGAAAAATAGCTGAGTCCTCTAAATTAACTTTAATATCTGTTGCTGACTTCAATCCTTACTGCAAACGGGATTTTTGCATAGTTGAAGTTAAAATAGGTTAATCTAACTAATGCCCATTTAGTTTATGGGCACTAATGCAAAATTGGTGCGTTTTCCAGTGTTTGATATTTGCAGATTCAAATTTTTGGCCTGAGCGCTTTGACATTGAGTTCTTAAACCCATACAGACTCCACCATGATGTCTTGCAGACATTAAAACCTTATTGAACAGGGACTGAACAACTGCATATGTAGTTTTTTTAGCTTGAGGGTTCAAGGTCTGCTGTGAGGAGTATAGGTTCAACATGGGAGAGAGTTTATAGTAAAATTACCACATAACTGTAGGCTTTCTAAGAAGAATGAATGTCAAACCTGCTTGTAAAATTGTGAAATATGCTAAGAATGCAGAGGTGAAACATTAAACATATTTATTGTTTTAAATATCTAAATGCACATGAGTTAAGAGGAAACTTACTGGAATCAAAGGGTAACATGATTTTGTAAAATGTCAATTAGCCTCATACTTTTTCCTCATGATTTTCCTAGGTGCTAAGCACAGTTAAAATAAATCCTGCTTTTATTCTTAAAGCCCAACTCCAGCCAAAATTTTGTTAATTTCTAGTTTTGGATACATGTGCAAAAAAATTAAATACCTCCTATTAAAATGTAATTGCTATCTGTGACTCCACTGTGGGTATTTTACCTCACTTAATGTGCTCCTGACTAGAGTGTGACACCAGGTCAAGAAATGAGGGTAGCGATCATCATCGGTACCGGAAGACACAGAAAGTAATGATTACCTAACAGTGGTTCTGACCCTTCTGTGCCATCCCCACTCTGTCCATAATGTTTTTTTAAAAAGTTTTGACTGGAGTTTGGTTTTAAAATGAACCTGTGCTTCAATAGATGTGAAGGCTACAAATGCTCATCCCCTTTTTAGATACTACTTAGCTGGCTTGTTGTGCACAGAACATCTGCAGAAAATAAAAAATACTGGTTATGATTGGATAACTGTTTTCCCTAACTTTTTTCTTCTCATATTGCCACTCTGTGTCTGATCATAAGATTTTAGCAGGCAAACGCATATCATTTAGGAAGAAGGAAGTGATTGAATGTGTGTGTCAGCTTCTACCGAGCAGTTGAGTATTGTCTGTAATAACTATTTTATTTGCACCATAGTTAATTTTGAAGATCAAGCTACCTCCATCCTGGTCCAAGCAGAACTGGTACACAGAGGTTTAGAAATATGTTAAGCGCTGTGCAAACCGTTGGTGCTATATACATATTGTATAATAATAGTGTTAAGACAACAGAACGCACTAGATTCTGGACTTTGCAACACAAAGGCTAAAAACAGAAGTATATTCACTACTCACAGATGGTACAAACCCCCCCCCCCCCCCCCCCTCACACACACACACACACACACACAATAATGAATGTTAGAAAGTCATCCAGCTTAAGCCCCATTAACATTGGCAGTGTCAAACTTGTATGCGTTTAGGTGTATCTAATCTAATCTAATGATTTTTCAATGGTATAATTCAAGCTGAGTGTTTAACTGCCTTTAGATGTAGTCAGTTTAGTTGTTTAGAGAAAATAGAATTCTGTGTTTTCAGGATATAATAAGAAACTCGAAATAGGCTGAACACATGTAAATGCATGTAAACATGGCAAACAGCATGCGGGAGTGAATGTAGTCTAAGGAATAGAGAATGTTCTATGGAGTGGGAGGAGGAAAGAGTAACAGAGGTGAGAATGGGCAGAAAAACATTTAATAGTAATTTAGAAAGCTGAGGTCCACAGTCATTTTGTTTTCTCTTTATCATTTGTAGTTCAAAAGTTTCCCTTTCCTGAGTATTTGTGAAGTTCCATTAAGCAAGTATAACCATTTTTTTTTTACCTTTTCAGTTGGGCTACTCCCTGCATTGCAAAGGTTAAAGTGCTTGTTTGTGTCTAGGTGCAAAAATTAAAATGTTAGACTAACCCGAACTGAGGAGTCGGCAGGCTCTCTTTGCACTCCCTCCAGCCTATCTCCCCCTCTGCTGCAACAATGATATGTCCCTCTGCATCCTCATGTCCTATGTATAGAATGTAATGACTCACAAGCCTTGGGCTCCATTCACACAGGAGCGATTGTCTGCACGTATTCAGCCGGCTGAATACCGGTGGAGCCGCTCTAAACAGAAAAAAACAATGCACTTTTATGTGCATCGCTCAGACTTTTGCGGCGGCTGCACGGTACGAAACCGCGCGGCCCGCAAAATAGTCCAAGCGTGATTTTTTGACAGATTCCAAACGTTCGTGGCTATATAATTATATAGCTGCAAACGAGCGGAATCTGTGCAGAAGATTTTAGTGTTTGCGGTGCCGCGTGGTCTTCTGCACAGTAAACCACTTGGGAAACACGAATGCTATATGTGAATGGAGCCTTAGACTGCTGCATCAGAGGGGGAGAGAGGCTCTAGGGACCGGTCTAACAGCAAGCCGGTTTTCGAGGATTGGGTGAGTTTAACTTTGTTATTTTTGCACCTAGACAAAAAAAATTAAAAAAAGGAGTACTTAACTCTTGCAATATATGGGTAGCCCCATGCAAGGGTTAAGAAAAAGTTTGTCCGGAGTTCTGCTTTTAGGTTATGGCGAAAAAGGACTAAAGCAATTAAAAATACTCTTCAACAAAATCGGTGCATAGAGCCTTCTTACAACACAAAGGAATTTATATGTCTTATTTCTTTAATTGTTCCCTTTAATAGTTTTATGACCTTTCTCACCTCTATGACTCCCCTCCCAGTCTATAGCTCACTTCTCTACTTAGCTGGCTAACGTTCTCATTCTTATTACCCTATATGTATGTGTTTGTGAGTGTACTTCTTAGCAACCCTCCGTGTCCCAGTACTGCTTGGACCTAGAAGAAGTTAGAAGACCTCCGAAAGCTTGTTCTTAAAAAGAAACTGTTACTGCCCATAAAAAAAGCGTCACATTCTAAACAGTGATGCAAGCGTACTAATATTGCTACAATCACCCTAAAGTGAAGTTTAAAAAAAAAAGAACCCGCACTTGAAATGCATCCTAATGTAATCTTGTGATATTTCTGGGCTCTGTTCGCACAAGTGTAATCCATTCCGGTGTTGTAAAAAAAATCCCACATGCTCTATTTTTTCTGGTCTGAAATGCACTAAAATGCATGTAAACGCATACAAAATGCATACAAACGCACTGGACTTCACCCAATAGCCTATTTTAAGCAAAAAAAATGTATTGGAACGTGTCAAAATGCATAAAAAAACGCACTGCACCGCATTTGTAGATCTGCTCCAGATCTGCTCTGGACATGGTGTGAACAAGACCTTACAGTCTCTTTGTCATAGAAAGTGCTGATGGGCAGTTTTTGTTTTCCACAGAACAGTAATTAGAAGGAGTCCGTAAAGAGGTTTACTAAATGCTTACATTGCATGTACTGAACCTCTATAGAATTGTGTTTTTGTCAACAAAAGTGAAAATTCATTCAAGATGTTGAAGAAGGCTCAGCTCCCCAGGGTTGCAATGGAATATCTAGTTAGCAACAAATGGATACAATTTACCTCATGATATAGTATCACCTGCAACATTTTTAGTCACTTTGTCATTACCCTCACATAGGTTGCTTCTGGATCGGTTGAAGAATTCCTTGACACCATATTGGCAAAGCTTTCTGATTGCTGTCCTCCTTCTAATCTGTCCTTGTGGTCAATCCCTATGCCTTCACCAACATGACTACATTTGCTATGTCACTGGGATGAGACTTAGAGCAGCAATAGTGGGTAGTGTCTATAATAAGGTATGCTTTGTTTTTACTTGCTCCTTAAATGTTTAGTCTTCATTCATATTTTAAAGGGAAAAAAATGATCATCTGTCAAAGACTCATGCTTGTCATCCTTTTTTTGAAATTTGCACTAAAAGGTAATTTTTCTAGGTCCACTCAGTACTGGAGTGATGCTTGGACCTAAAAGACAGCGTTCTCTTGAAAAAGCTGTAACAACAGATTTAAAAAAAATCATAGACATGTTTTTGGAAGTGCACTAATAAGACTACAAACAGACTAAAAAAAACAAATAAACCAGACCAAAAAAACTAATAAACAATTGTTACTGCTTTTTCATTTGAATATATACTTGCAGGGAACTCATCAAACTGTTGAAAAGATCCTCCATACTGTACAAGAGTGTATTTTTGTTTGTTTAGGAAATTCCATCTAAATGTTCCCTAATTCCCTGTGACAGGCATATCAGCTATTCAATGAACGTGAAATATATAAATTAAGGAGAAGCTTCATCTATAAACAGAAATTTAAATGATTTTCCTGTGGTTTCTGTAAGCTTTTTCTACAGTACCATAGCAATGTGGCTTGACTTATTCAAATATTACCCTCTTCTCTCCTGTACCATCATGCATCTGATCTATATGTTCTACTAATACTCTCCTTTATAAATTATTTCTTTATTCTGCAAGGCGTTAGTAATTTCCAGCTCTGGAAGGAAAAAATCTTCCACTGGGGAGATTGTGAATCTGATCTCTACGGATATACAAAAACTAATGGACTTGGCAACATGTTTCAACTATATTTGGTCTGCACCTTTTACAATCATTGTGGCAATGTATTTCCTATGGCAGGTATAGTATATTAATTCAGATGTTTACTGCCTAAACAAATGACAAGTCTACAAATGACTGAGTATTGTAGTAAAGACCTTGATGTTACTGAGAACCATAATAGGTAAAGCACTACAAAATACTTACAAATGTTCAACTGCTAAAAAAAATAAAATGAGATGTTATATTTTAGAGCAGCCTTTCTCAACCTTTTCAACCAAGGGAAACCCTTAAAAGGTTTTTTAGATCTCAGGGATCCCCTGAGTAAAAATTATTAGACTTGCGGCTCATGGTACAATTAGCTAATCAGAAAGTTGTAGATATAAAGTCATGTGAAAAAGAAAGTAGACCCACTTTGAATGTTATGGTTTTAAGTATCAGGACATAACAAGAATCATCCGGCTCTTAGCAGGCCTTAAAGTGACATTAAACCCTCAGATTTTTTAACATAAAACAATACTGTAATGTGCGCCTTACTGTAATCCATGGTTGTTTCCCTTCTCTTTGATGCTCTTCCTTTTAAAACTATCTGTTCTCATGCTTGGAGAGAACTTCCCTTTTCAGCTCAGGGCCTCTTCCTGTAGTGCCACAGATTCCTACGCTAAGCTGTGAGGCTGGAGGAATTTCTCGCTGGGCAAGCTTTAGTATCTTGCTACTTGCTAGTCAACCCCGCTGGCTCTCAAAATACCTGAACAATCTGATTGGATGCAGGCATTCTTTAGGTGTTTTGAAAGCCAGCGGGGCCGACTGGCAAGACACTGAAGATTGGCCCAGTGGGAGATTCCTTCATCCACACAGCTTTAGGGTCACAATGCTGCTATTGCATAGATACACCACAGTGACTGTCACCCTAGGACATGAAGTGTGTTATATACAAGAAAAGTATGCAACCATCACATCTTAGGACTGGTAAGGTGCAATATATTACATTTGTGGTTCTGGGTTTAGAAATAAATAAAAAATAAACATATTAGCCTATTTAGAAATATATTACTGTATGGCACAGCTAGTAAAATATATACTGTAACAACTGTTCACTGTGCAACTATACATATTATTATTAAGTAGTAGTGGTAGAAGTAGTTGTATTACTAGTATTTAAACTAGAATAGACAGGAAAGTGTATATTGTTTGTAAATATAAAGACACATTCTATTTATGGGTTCTGTAACAAGGACACTCCACTGTAGTCCAGGTAAGTCAAGGAAACACAGTTTATTGAAAGGGCAAACACAAAATAGCTTGAAACAGCAACATAAGACAGTCCTTGTTATGGCTCTGTAGCTTTCCTCAGCTACAAGACACTCACGCTGCTCACCCCTCGTGAGCCCTCACTCTGCTCTCTTAGCAGACTGTACCGCAGGTCCTCGGGTCACCGACCTTCCTGACCTCTCCCAGCCACCCCTGGCTGTTCCATGCTCTAGAATGCACCCGAGGTGGTCTGTGTCCGTGTGCTCCCTGCACACACACAACTCCAACACTCCCCAGGGTGGAGCTCTCCTGACTCACAGGTGGGGCCCTGAACACATCCCAGCACACTCTTCATGAAGGATGTACAATCAGGTGCTGGTCACTACCAAAGCATGGACCCAGGAATGGAGATTTCATCCCACCCAGAGCTCTAAGAAATCTCCTGGCTCCAGGATCCCAACTATGATCCAGACAACCTGGAAGCAGGTTGTACACGTACTGTCTTCCTGGAGCCACTCAGCCCCTCTGGCTGAGAACCCTGGGTGACTTTGAGGCCACCTAACACCGTGGTATTGGCTTACACTGCCACAGTTCATAAACACTATATGCAGTGACCTGTGTTCTTCTGCACAAGAACAGCACAGATCACCACCGGGGCACAGAGAAAACAATTGTTTTCTATGTTCCCTGTGCACACTGCTGCGCTGACGTGAGGTGGGTTGCAGGGCATTGTGTAAAAATGCAGAAATGCTGCATTTTATCACCACGAATTGGAGATCACCTGAAGTTACTGTCAGTCACGGCAACGCAACTCAGCTGCGATGCATTATCTTTAATGAAGTGTCATTTTGTGACATTTTAATAAAGTAAAAAAAAAAAGAAAACATTTACGTATTGTAATGCACTGAAACAGCACAAACCCCTGTCCCCCACCGCCCGCACAGGAAAACTATATGCCCTATGTGCAGAAACCATTTTTTTTGTTATTTCTATGTTATATTATGCTCCTAAATGCCAGCAAGCTAAATACCACCACAATCACAGTGCAATATCTGAACTTGTAGTCTATTAAGATAGCTGTGTAGCTCAGCTATGTCACAAATCCTGTACAACATTAAGCGGGTTATTATGCTAAAACTGACAAACTATTGAGGTATGAAACTGGTTTGACTACATAACTACTGGAATCAGGCATCTTGAAAAACACCTAAGGGTTCAGAAGTTTAACAAAACAAAAACCAAAGACTTATTATTATTAATTAAAGATGAAGTAAAGCTATTTAAACATGTATTTTTGTAGCCTGTCATTCTTCGCGATTTTCTTTTACTTTTTGATCCAAAGATAAAAAGGAATTAAGGTAATTCTCCTCTGATGCAGTCGTCACCCAAACAAGTGTCCTACTGAAAGATTAACCATCAACTCTTGATGGGGTGACAACTAAAACTTTGGATATCCAGTCATTCCCTTTCCCAGCGACAACAGTCACATGACAAAAATAGAGGGTGAAGCTCCCCAGCAAGCAAGGTCACAGACCTGACAGGGATTCTCTACCGTCCAAACATTTTTCAATTGTTTTGGCTTTACATTTTATATACTTTAATAATAATCTGTAGTCAGTAACACTTATAAGAGAACACCATTCACATGGGTCTCTGAAGCTTGCAATTATCTAATTGCTGAAAATGGGTATGGAAATGTATTGCAGTGTTTTTGGACTGTGGAGGGAAAATTTATAAAAATACAAGAAGAATGTTCAAGCACCATAAAGATGGAGTCTTCTTTTAGATACAACAAGGCATATCGTTTGCCAGGGAATTTCAAGCTGTGAGAACCAGCTGCTTCAACAAAAGTTGATTTGTCAATCAACTTCTGTCAAAGGAGCTGGGTGGAAAATTATCGTCCAAACAGCGCCTGCATGCAATCAGATTATGAAGATATCATTATTAGGAACTATCTAATTTACATGCCATTTAGTAGGAAACAATCTAATGTCTTCTTTGGATGGTGGATCCTTATTGATGCAGTTTATTATTAATAACTGTCTTACTCACACGTCATATGCTGTTTGTGCACCTACTGATATTATTTTTTCTTTCCAGACACTGGGAGTTGCAGTGTTTGCTGGAGTTGGAGTATTTTTTTTGAACCTTCCATTCATGACATTGTTTGGAGTGGTGATCAAAAAGTTGCAGGTAAAACTACATTCTACAGTACTTTTATAATCTGCTAAGAAGAAAAAAAATCAGATCTTATCCATGTGTTTTTTGTTTTACAAAGCACAGATTGCTGAAACAGAAAGCTTACAAAATGTCTGTGAATATTTATGTAAATCTTTAAACATGTTTCACAAATGTCATATTGACTTCTCATCTCCTTATTGAGTATCATGGAGGGTCCCTAACCCACAGGTTGCTTGAACTGTATGTAAATCCAAAACTATTTTTGTTAGTTTTAAATAGAATGTGGAAGTATTAGAAACTTTTTTGTCGCTGTCTTTGTGTCCCTACTGGAGAGAATTTGCCCTCTCTACTGATGACCACTGTCTCTGGTAGAGCAGTGAATTGCTGGTTCTGTAGTGAACACAGGTCTTTTCCCTGCATTTATGCCTGGTAACCCCAGCAAACACCGGTATAACAGCCTTCTTCCTATCTCGCTCTTTGCTGAGCGGGAGAGTGGGCAGAAGGAGGGAGATCAAGCAGCTTCAGCTTTCTTCTTCTCTAGGCTGTGCCTGGCACAGACATGGCATACAAGTTGAAGCAGATCCTAAATAATTAATGAAGAGCAGGGTCTGCTAGATTTTTTTTAGCTTAGTGTCGTCGCCACTCTTTGTGAATTCCCAAGTTTGTTTCCTGAGTGTGGGATATATATCAATGATGGTATATAGTTACTTTACAGGTGAAACTCGAATAATTAGAATATCGTGCAAAAGTAATTGCAGTAAGTGCTGCAAAAGGGGCCCAAACCAAGTACTGAGTACATATGCATGCGTGTACTTTTCAGAGGTCCGATATTGTTCTATGTACAATCCATGTTTTATTGATTGCATGTAATAATCTACTTTTTTGAGGTTGTGGATTTGGGGTTCTTGGGGTTTTCATGAGCTGTAAGCCATAATCATCACAATTATGACAAATCACAGCTTGAATTATCTTGCTTTGCATGTAATGAGTCTATCTCATATATTAGTTTCACCTTTTAAGTTGCATTAGTGAAATAAATGAACTTTGCACGCTATTCTAATTATTCGAGTTTCACCTGTATATGAGGTAAACTCTTGGTAGAGAACACATTTGTGTTTGGGTTACATATATATGCTCCTTTCTGGCAACCCATACCTTTTATTAGGGAGCAGGCTGGTGAGGGACAGAAATGTAGCAGACTAAAGAATGTATTTTAATCTTTTAATTTGCTCTTCTGAACTTATTTTTGGCAAATATAATAATACTGTAAGAAATACGTTGCCATTAAAGTGATTCCGCTCTGGAGGGAGAAGTGAGAAATAGTCTCATCAAATTTTTACTTTCTTGCTTCTGTCCCTGGGTGACAAAGTGCAAGGTGCACTTTGTCCTGTCTTCCTAGGTGTTCCTATTCCTGAAATAGTGTGGTTGCCAGTGTGCCCCCACTGCTGTCCGACCACCCATAAACCAAGGAGACACACAGTTTTGATTTACGGCACTTGTCACAGGCCCCAGGTGCTTCCCCAACACAAGTCCTTTCAGGCTGTATGCAGGGAGAGGGTGGAGTGTCAGCTACAACACAGTGAGAGAAATCTCTCCAATGGGAGAATGCAAAAAAGCGGTTTTAAACCTTCCCTCTCTAATTTAAAATGTAAAACAGTGTCCCCAGCACATTTTCAAGCTAGCCAGCAAAAACAAAAAGGTGGTCCCCTTTGCTGGCTAGCTTGAAAGTGTTCTGGGGGACTCCTTTTGCACTGTTTTGTAAATTGCTCTGTACTTGTGCACCTTTTCCTTTTTGCTAGTTTCAAGCAGATGAGAGCGGCAGCCACCTTTGCTTTTTGGGATTTGGTGCAGACACACACTGAGAGTCTTGCCAGCTGCCTTGTAAAGGTAATGTCTGGGCTTCTGATATGTTGCTGTGCCTTTTAGGAGGATGGTGTTGCCTCCAGGTGAGCCTCCTTTCTTTGTACATTGCTATATACATTATGTTCCCATAGTAGGAAAACTTAGTTCAGAGTTAGGGACCACATTTATCACAGTGTCTTGATGCGGCAATGTGGTTTTCATATGTATTTATAGACGTTCTGTTTTCAACCTGAGTAGTTGAAACAGATTGGTTAGGATTTTTAGCTTAAAAGTGTGCTGGGGACTTTTGCAGGGATTTATATATTGTTCTGCCCATGCGCACCTTTCCTGTTTGCTAGTTTCAAACAGATCAGAGCAGCTGCCATCTTTAGTTTTTTTTATTTATTTAAGATAAAAATAGCCAATCCTGGAATTCCTCTTTAGGAATGCTTGTGTGCCTCAACATTGTCACCAACGATGTATCAGTGACTTCCATGTTTGAGCAGAATGGAAGGTTAATGGCAGCACTTGTGGAAATACTGGTATTTATTTTACCATAAAATATTGTGATATTCATGGTGGTTCCAAATGCATGTTTAAGAAGATCTATCATGTAATATTGATGGTTATATGTAGATTTTAAGAAATATTAGATTTTATTAAAAGTTTTGGGTTAACATTTTTCTATTAACTTCAAAAGTTTGAACAAACTTAATACTTAAAGTGTGTAAAACGTTTTTATTAATATAAGATAGAGCAAGGAAAGGGCAAAACCCACATCAGGTTATTGTTTGATAACCTGATGTGTCCTACTGGGGATATTTTCCTTTACTTCCTATTCTGGGGACACATCAGGAAATCTCTCCAAAGCAAATGAAACGTCCATCATAAATAAAGAGTCAGTGAAGGGTTTTCCCTAACCTCTAGGTTAGATGACAACTCAGAATTTTTTGGATTTCCTATCACTTTCTGTATCAGTGACAATGGTCACCAGGACAAACAGAGGGGTAAATTTCCCCTTAGCAGGGACACAGATAGCAGTAAACACTTGACAAAGGGTCTAGCCTTCCCTAAACAATCATAAACTAAAACAAAATTTTTTCATACACTTTGAATAAGTAAAATTAAATATTCCTTCAAAGGGGATTGTAGTCATTTTAAGTTTTTTATATAGTCTTATATAGTCTTATTTGACTGATTGCTGATTTTGTGTTTCAATGCAAGTCCACAAATAGGGTACTGTATTTCTGATTGAAAAGAATTCACCTTTTGTAAACCCTCCAGTGATGTGAAACATTAACCATTTTCATTGTATCCAGAGACCATGTGATCAAGCTGATTGTCTACCACTCCCAATAATAAGCATATATTGATGATATTTCAGAAATATTTCATAATTTAAATGTAAGAAAATCAAATGAACTAAATAAAAAGATGGCCAAGTATGGTTGTTGTGCAAAGATGATATTTATTATTGTGGAGACAAGCACTTTTGTGTTATAAGCCTTCTCAGAAACGTTTAAATGTTAGTTAAAAATGCCCTTGTCTGCTTGCTGAGATACAAAAAAAGAGAACAGTAAAAGCACATCTTATCTATGCTGATTCACAACCGTGTTTCAGTTGATATGCATACTCAGTGATAATACAGACACACAGAAAAAAGCATATCAGTCTGACAAGAGGTCAGTATGCTGAAGGCAAAAGTCTTTTTACTTTAAAGTGTATTTCCATTAGCTTCACCAAAAAGGATGCCACTTACTTTTCACACAGACCCTAACAACAGATGCTGAACAGGCCAAGTTCAAAATAAAAACACTTGCTGTGCTAGTCATTTTCTGTAAATTAAACTTGATCTATTCACTGGATAATTGGAATTTATCTTTACTGTGGGTAGTATTTTACAGGTTATGGTAACAAGGGACTACAAAATAAAAGTACTCCAACCCAACCAATGCATAGCACAGTAACACCTTCTTAAAAAAAGAAGGTATTCACATGTCCTATTCCATCAAATATACTAAATATAAGAAGATCAGTCCTTATCTCAGGACAGTGGGCAGAGCCATGCAAATCAGTCTTTTATGTCCCAAACAGCCAAATGCACATCCACAACTGCTGGTGTATACTGCAAATATAGCTTATTATAAAGACGTTTATTCCAAACTGCATATAGCTGTTTCAGGATTTTTGGCCAATGATCTGCAGTGTATGGTAACCATGGGTTCTGTGAAGTGTTTGGGACCCAATGAGTATAATCATACAGGATATGGTGAGACAGGATTAACGTAATAAAACCAAATCAGTGCGCATAGCAAGTAAAGCCTACATACAACAGAGGGGGAAGGGTGGGGGGGGATTGATCAAATCTGGAGCAGCTGTACATGGCAACCAATAAGCTTCTCTCTTCAGCTTTTTCAATTACGCCTCATTCACACGAGAAAAGGCCGGCACGTACAGCTCCGTGCACGGCCGTATCGGGCAGCTCCTGGTAAGGACAGGTGCTACATGTCACTAGTATGCAGCCCCTGTCCTGCTCTATGGGAGTACGCAGCCCTACACTCACCCGCCCTGCATGTCCGTGCTGGTGCGAGGGTCCGTACTGGTACGCTGACATGATGGATCTGCATCTGAGCCGGGACACCCGCACCCGTACGGATCTGCACTTGGGGTAGGGTAGGGCAGCGTATGGCCGCGTATTCCCATACAGAAGGACAGGGGCTCCGTACTAATCACACGCAGCACCTGTCCTTCCTGGGAGCTGCCTAACGGCCGTGCACGCGCCACGGAGCTGTAAGTGTCTACTGTGTGTGTGTTGTAATATAGCCATTGCTCCAAGCACACTCCCGTCAAAGACTACAATCTCATGTTTACCAAGCTAACTTGTATTGACCATCACGGGAGGGAGTTTGGAGTGGTGGCTACTTTACAACACATACAAGGACCATGGGAAACAAAAGTAGCCACCCTCCAGAAGGAAGGAAGGACAGTGTCAGTACACATTCAGAGATGATTTGAGGATCCACCGCCGAGTGATACACAAATAAGATACATTTTTGTTAATATTGTACTTGAATGCATTTTTAAGATAAAACTCCAAAGTTTAGTGTCAGTTTATTCCGGTATGGTCACAATGACATAGTTCATGTGTTTTGCTTTTTCTTATTATACTATTTTGGTACCTTGATTTCTTGTAGTTTTATAAATACATTTCTCGCTTGTAATGACAGTTGTGGAATCAATAAATTACTCCTCTACCCCACTGCTCTTCCTAGTGCCTGACTGCAAGTAGAACTGCTCATGGTAGTCCCCTTTGTCCAGAGATAATGTATTGCCTGTTCACTGAGGACTGTGAACGAGAATTACTGCTTATGTAAAAAAAAAAAATGAAACCTAGGGGCTGCCCCAAAATAATTCCTGACAGCACACTTCTGCAAGCCTGGGAGAGGGCCCTAACACCTAACCCACCACGAGAAGATACTATAATAACCCTTATGTATAAAGATACACCCCTCTGTTGGGAACATCAGAAAAACCATTCATCATAATCGAAATATTTTGGAAGCCGACAAGGTATTGTCACCTATCGTGAAACAACCACCTTCATTTATTCTAAAAATAGACCTTTTTGAGACTTCCTAGTACAGGCTGATCACAGACTGTAATATTTTAAAGGCCTGTTCACACCATAGTGTTGTGATAATCGCACAATACTGTGGATTTAGCACACAAGCTTTCGGTACCATGTGCTAGGTGCTTTGCATTGCTGTTGTTTTGAATTGCAACCCAACACACCTCCTGGTGGCCTTGCATGGCAGCACAGCGCATCGTGCACTATTACAATACCTTTCATTGCAGGGAAAAAATACTAAGGTGCGTTGTGTGATATTGTGTGCTAAATCCACGGTATTGTACGATTAACACAACTCTATGGTGTGAATAGGCTCTAGAGATTGTTTTACCTTGCATACACTGGGAAACAATATCAGAACATGGAATACTGTAACACTAATCAATGAGTGTATATTATGGAATGCCGCTGTACCCAGGTACATATTGGCAAGATAATTAACCCTTCCAAAAAAAATCAGAAACATTGAGCTTACATTAAACTGGCTATAGAATACAATAGATTGGTTGAAAAAAACTAGTAGCAATATACCTAGTGTGATAAATTAACTTATTTATTTGCCAAACACCCCCCCCCTCCACCCCAAATGAATGTAACCCCTCTCCCATGCATACTTACCTGAATTTGACAGCCATTGTCTGCAGGAATCTTCATAATCTTCATTTCCGCCGGCCACACTTGTGCTGTTAATCCAAATAGAAGTCTGTGGGGATTCATTGAGCAGGTGCGGCCAGGGCAGAGGAAGAGTTCGGAAGGAGGCTTTGAGAATTCCTGCAGACTGCAGCCATCCAAAAGGAAGCAACGTTAGTTCATCATTTAAGACCTTATGAGTGACATATAGTTATTTGTATGTATCTCCTTTATTTGTTTTCTAAAGGAAGAACAAATGAAACAGAAGGACAGTCGTATAAAACTGATCTCTGAGATTCTTCAAGGTATAAAGGTGCTGAAGCTATATGCTTGGGAGAATGCTTTCATGAAGAAAGTTGAAAGCTTCAGGTTGCTGGAACTGAAAGCAGTGAAGAAGTATGCGCTAATGTTGTCTGGAGCACTGGCATTATTTGTGGCCTCACCCTTCTGGGTAAGCAAGAGATACAGTTCTTTAGGCTTTTACAATTTTATAGCCTCTCTAGCATTTCAATTGTAGGCAAACTGCTAAACTGACATTCAAAATATATGTGTGTGCATTGACTTACTTTTCAAGCCAGACACTGACAGCACAGTCATGTCTCTGACCTCACTTCCTTCCCGGCAGTGAAGCAATATACCTTGTCAAGAGCATGCCCAAGCCAATGATTAAGGGGGCAGCAGCTCACTGAGTAGCGGTGAGCCAATCATTCTGGCAGATTCATGTCTTAAAGTGAATTAGGTGATTCACAGGTGCAGTGAAATTTCATAAAATTTTGGTAACTTGCTCCAAATCAATTTATTTGGCCACTGCATTAGCAATTTTTTTATTATTTGGCAGCCATTCCCATGAAATCTTGTTGCACACCTTTGCCAAACATAATAAGAAAAAACTCCCTGCAGCAGCAATTTGCTGTATGTGTGTTTTTAAAAGCAGTTCTCTGTTATAATGAAAGTTGAAATCTATCCACACATTAGAGTCATTCCAATCATGATGAGGGAGAGAATTATGTGTGGGGTAGTAGCATCTAGGGGTGGTATGAGGTGATATAGGCTTTTCAGTGTACCCCCGTCCTTACACAAGCAGGAATTCATGTATGAATCGATCTTTTTTTAAAAAAAAAGGTTTAAATATATTTTAAAAGATCAATATATTAGAATCTGAGGAAATGTATGGCATATAAATAAATAATTTAATATAGGAGTTTTTTTGTGGTTTACTGTACATTTTGTCCATGTTAAAGGTTTAGCTTGGTAAGAGTATTCCTTCACTGAAAGACTATGCAACAACATAAGAGACTGATAATTACAGGAATAGGAATCCCACAGTCATGTAAGAAATCACCAGGGTTGCAGCAGTTTCACCTGAGACCTAGCTATTGCACTCGATCACTGTCCTGAAATCATTAGTCTGTATTGTTTTAGAAAAACTGTCACATGACACTAAACAAAAATGTATCAGTACTTGTATCTGTGAGTACTTAGTCTTGGAGCTGGAAAAGTATCTGTAAATGTACACTATATTGCCAAACGTACTGGGAAACCCCTCCAAATCATTGGATTCAGGTGTGAAATTTCCTTGCTATTAAATATTCCACGGTCATGACTTACCACCCGGCTTCCTGATTGGTTGGGAAGCCAAGCTGCCTACCAACAAGTGAAGCTGACTTCCTAGCCAATCAGGAAGCCTGGAGGCGGGTCATAACCCACTACCCGGGTTCCTGATTGGAAAGGAAGCCGGCTCCATGTTCCCCCCGGCACTGCCGGTCAGGGAAAGCTCTCCCTCTGATGGTAAGTTCCGGTATCGGAGGTAAGTATCGGAGCATTTGGGCGAGTACGAGTACTCGCCCAAATAGTCGGAATCGGCACAGATACCTATACTAGTATCGGTGCATCCCTAATGCAAATCCATTTTATTGATAGTTGTCCTGCCTATCAATCAACGTCATGACTTGCGTCCCGGCTTCCTGATTGCACAGGAAGCCAGGCAGCCTCCAAAGCCAAGCACTTTCGCTAGAACACCGGCTTCACAGGCATTTGAGAAGACGGGCAATGGGTCATGATCTGCTGCCCAACTTCTTGATAATAGGGACACACGGCACCAATACTCAGCATCGGCGAGTACCGGGGGAAAAAAATATCAGTACTCTGTACCGAAAAAACAGTATTGGTGCATCCATAATTTGCACTAACATGGAGTCTTGGTGCTGGTGACATCTGTATTGGAGTTCTGTTGTGAGTGTCACCATCCACAGTCATTACGAGCATCCGTTACTTTTGGCATATCTGGTAAGGAGTGCAGCAGGGTATATGTATACTGCTTTGTATGGGGGCATCATTTTTGTACAGATTGTATATCAGGGGCCTGTGGCACAATGGCATCTTATGGGGGCATCGTTTATGTACAGAATGCATATCTGGGGACCTGTGGCACACTGGCAAGTTGTGATTAACTCCATATGATTTGTTATACATTGTGATTAACTCCAATGTTATTTAATCACAATATATATGCATAGTGTATACTTTACAAAAAATTGCAGCGAGGCGCTACAGTGTTCAGGTTTGGCTTGAAGAAAAGGTGGCAACCCTACAGTCAGTAGCAGCGAAAGGGGGAAAGAAACCCTCACATGGCCCGCTCCCAATATTTATGTTTTCTCCCAGAATGCACCACTGGCCATGAACCTCTTAGTGATTGGCCAGGGACACATAGATATTCATAACAATCTCTTATAGGTTGCTCTGCTCTGTGGCAAGGATACAGCCAGCAGCAGGCAGATGCAAACAATAACAGATTGTTTAGGGGTAACCAAATGAGCACAGACTATAGATCCGCATCAGATTGATTACAATCTGACAACAACTAAATTTAACTAAGCATTCCTGCTTACAGGGTGCTACACTGTCTATAGAACTCTGTCAACAGGAGGGGCATCTTTCAATCAAATGTACATCACAGCAAGCTCCCAGACCAAAGAGCAAACTCTTCTCACATGTTTCATCAATGTGGCTTACTCATAGAGGTCTCTAGAGGTTTGCTCTTTGGTCTGGGGAGCTTGCTGTGATGTACACCTGATTTTGCATCAATAAACACAGGATTCATCACTTGTATCTTTACAACCTGCACCTGTGGGGGAAATACAGCTTGAGCTGGGCTGCAGAATTGGAGCGGTGAGGATTTTTGCAATACTATTTTGTCATATTTTATTGGGATAAAATAATAATTATCACATCCTCGCATCCTCACTATTCTCTGGTTTCCATCTGAATATGACAATTATGAATGTTTACAGATGAATCTGCAGTGAACCATGACATTGTGGCAATGGTTTAGCTGTTGCATAAAAAATACTAACTACACATACAGTGGGGAAGTTACTTTATATCAAGGTTCCACTACTCGCAAAGAGCCAGTTGCTTTTTAAGACCTGTTTAACACTTCTTGTTTTTTTTCTTTTCCTGTCTGTTTATTTCTTTATACCCTTACATTTTAATTCCTTAGGTTTCTCTGACAATGTTTGGTGTTTTCCTTGCTGTTGATGATAAGAATGTCCTGGATGCCCAGAAGGCCTTTGTCACTATAATATTGCTGAATATTCTCAGGATTCCTCTACGTATGTTCCCGATGGCTGTCACGCTTATTTTCCAGGTATAAAACAGTCCTCCACATTTGCATTCATCATATTTGTCCTTTTACTATAAATTCTTCTAACACAATTCTGTCTTGTTGGTTTGCTTTGTTTTCAGTCATCTGTTTCCCTTAAACGTTTGGCCAAATTTTTCTCTGAAGATGAACTAGACCCTGGAAATGTGGAGACTTTAGACTCTTCTAGCAGTATGTATTTTAGATATGGTTTTACCTCCACAATCTTGTTCAAAAAAGAGATCTACAGGGTTTTGAAAGTCTGTTATGTGTTCAAACCTTCAGTTGATGCTTTAATTTGTGCCAAAATTATTTCAAAACTCCTACTTATTTTTCTGGAGTTAAAATAATTTAACTGCAAGATTTCCCAGAACTATATATTTATGGGAAATATGTTCCGTATATTTCACATTCTGTAAAAAGCATACAGTGCAATAAACTTTAGTTTCTGATAAATATGTTTTCCTAATTTTGTAATTTTAGTCTAATCTAATTTTAAGCATACTAAGACTGGAGTTCAGGTTTCCCATGATTTTTTTCTGAGCGTTTGATTATGCTAACAATATTTCAATGAATTCTGTATTTGTATACCAAAATAACGGAGCAGAATCATGGGAAGAGCAATCATATACCTATTGTAATACCTGTAAAAAAAAAAAAAATGAACTGGCGGATCAGTAATTCTAAAAGTATAAATGTAAAAACAGATATGCTATAAGTGTTTTGTATGTAACAAATCCAGTTTTAATATGATTTGTTTCCCTTCGCTGTCAATAGGTGTGGATTTGTTTTTCAGGAAATGACATTGTGGTACAAGATGGCGCATTTACATGGTCTGCAACAGATGAGCCATGTCTTCGAGAGTAAGATTGTTACTTCATCTTTGATGGTTTGCATTGCAAATTAAAAAACTCTACCCAACAATTTCAAATATTTTGCAGTGGTATTTGGTGTGTAAAACACTAATTGTGCTTTGTTTACTTATCTCAGCTGTTCCTGAGGTACTCTCTCTTGTTGGTGTCGGTCCTATGCCACCAACCCTGTAATTAGCCTCCTGTCTGTCTGCATTATGTAGAGCTGTGATTGGATAGTGAAGGAGCAGCAGCTCACAGATGATGTCATATTTTTGACCTCACTTCCTATAAGTAAGCTCTGTTTTTTAGATTTATACTGAATGCAGATATACAGTGGAATACAGGAGGCTAGAACAATTGAAGGTTAAGGTGATATTAATAAAAAAGAAAAATGATTTTAGTACAAACATAAGTGCATTGAATTGGGGGTCTTAGGAGAGGTATTAGGAGACTCTGCCCTGCATCTTTATTCCTTACTGGAATAATCTGAACATGGGCTGCATATATGTTAAGAACAACCTGATTAATTTGTAAGTGTGTGTATGTGCATGTCTAGATTTCAATATAAGCTATTGAACTCTACATACAACAAGCTTTTTACAGCAAAGGAAATAGAGGAAAACATGTAAAAAGGGACCTAAAGCTCTACTCGATGGCTAGATAAACGACTACATAAAATTCATATTTAACGTTTTATATTTAGAAAATAAAATCTTCTATGTGCCAATATGTACCCAGCCGCGAGCACTAAATGCCAATGAAATGTGTGTATAAAATTAAATAAAAATGCATATATTATTATAGTAAAAAACAAAGTCCACAGTTAATTATCAAGGTGTATCCAAATCCAATCCCCGTACATCCACTGAAGTGCTAATGCAACGTTTTATTCTGTTTCAGCATTAATTTATCTGTCCAGAAAGGTTCGTTAGTTGCTGTTGTTGGTCAGGTTGGCTGTGGAAAGACATCACTTCTCTCTGCATTACTTGGAGAAATGGAAAAAGTGGATGGTACCATTGCCCTAAAGGTATATATTAACCTGGCTGTTAAATATATTTAAACATTGGAGAAGCTGTCTCATAGAATTTTATATGGATCAACTTCACAGTTGTTGCCAGCGCAAAGAGGACATTATTGTGGGATTTAAACATTGCAGAAGGTTGCAGCCTGGAGATGCAAATAAATGTACATCTGCCACATGGGAAGGTGGGTTATTTTAGGTGGGTGGTTTGTGTGACTGAACTCTCTAGTTTAGCCATTCACTTTTGCGTGTACATTTCAACTTCAGCTATTGATGTCTGTGAACAAGAGGCTTTTTTCAGCATACTGTAAGGAGATATAAGAAAACGGAAAAAAGAGCTGATAGTTTCACCTGGTGAATAAAAAAAAAAAAAAATTGAAGCTTAGCATGTATCACAGGCAGGGCCGCCATCAGGGGGGTATGGCCAGTACTGGTGTAAGGGCCCAGGCTCCAAGCTAGCATTTTTTATTATAGAACAATATGTAGAGTAGAATTTGCCTGTCCCCATCCCCCCACCCCCCGCGCTATTGGTACCTTCCTCAGAACTTGCCTGCAGGAAGGTTTTTTTTTCCAGAGGGCCGAGCTTTCTTTCCCAGGCAGAAATGCAGAAGCTCTACATTGGAGAGGAGCATATCTGCTGCCTGGAAGGGAAAGGGTAAGTGTTTTCCTCCACTGACCGACCGACGCTGAGAGGGGGAGGGGGGAGCTGCTTTATGAGGTTCCCATCACAGTGAAGAGCCAGTAGTGATGCTTGGCTGGGGAGGGCCAGAGACGGTGGAAGCTGGATGCAGTTTGCACTAATATGCTGTTTGACCTATGCAGTGGCGGACCTAATAACCAAAGGGCCCTGGTGCAAGATTTTATCTTGGGCCCCCCTCCCAAGACGGGGGGGGGGCACGTGAGTGGATCACACTCGCACCCGAACCCCCCCCCCTCCCCGGGTTCTCTAATGTTGCAGTAGTGCGCTGGACTTTGGACTTACCTGAGACCCTGCAGAGCACACCATAGATCCTGCATAGCCCACCTGAGACTCTCTATGGTGGGCTCTGCAGGGCCTCAGGTGGGCTGGTCATCCGGGTACCTTTCCCTGTACCTCCTCCCAACTCTTCTTACCTGCTGCTGCTGGGGCCCGTCCTCCTCCACCCCCTCCCCTGTCACCTCTGCCATGCCACCCCTGGTACAGGTGATACCCATGTAAGGGGCTGCCCAGACCCCTCACATGGGTACCGGCCGTACCCCCCTGATAGCGGTGTTCTATCAAAGTTTGTGACTACGTTAGAATGTGTAACCGGTGACGTGGTCACACATTTCAATGTAATCACGCCCAGTTTTTCGGTGGTGGAATGTGTGACCACCAATAGGTGAAGCATTCCAACGCTTTCTCAGCTGTTCCAGGGCAGGTCGGCATCACAGATGGTATGTGCAGGAGAACCAATCTTCCCTGGAACAGCTGATCGGTCCTGAAATGTCACTTCTATCCGACTTTGTGACTGCGATCTCACATTCCAACCCACTCACAAAGTCGGATAGAAGAGACATTTCAGGACCGATCAGCTGTTCCAGGGCAGATCGGTTCTCCTGCACATACCATCTGCTATGCCGATCTGCCCTGGAACAGCTGACAAAGCGTTGGAATTCTTCACCTATTGGCGGTCACACATTCCACCGCCGAAAAACTGGGCGGGATTACGTTAAAATGTGTGACACAAACTTTGATAGAACAGCAGCCCTGTCTAATCATTTAATCAGAGAAATAGATTATAATAGGAAACATTACAGTGTCATGTTTCCCATTATAATCCACTTTTCTAATTAAATGAAATAACAGTACACAACCCTCGCCCTCCTCCCTTCCCTCCCCTTCCCAGCTCGGACTCACCCAGCCAGAGCCTCATAGGATCGCAGCCAGATGGTGTGCATTGCAGGGGGCCGGGCGTGTGACACACACACACTTATCCTCTCCCTCCGCATGTGACTAGGGATGCGGCCCGGGAGAGGAGCGGTGAGTCACAGGACCCGCCCCCTCGCTGTGAAACCCGTTCTAACATCGGGACCCTGCACTGCCCTATATTCTACCCGGGGGGGTACATAGGACCAGGCCTCACTGGGCCCCCCCCCGCAGCCTCATGCCCCAGTGCAGTCGCAACGGCGGTATTTCCCCCCCTGGACCTATGCCCTGGAGGTTCCAGCAGTGAGGTCTGAACATGGTTATTGAGAGGTATACTTACAGATAAACATTTTTGTGTTACATTTAAAATTTTTATGGCTTTACTTGCTTGTGTATAGTATTTTATTGATGTTTATTTTCCTGCATTTTCTAATTTTGTTTACAGGGCTCTATAGCATATGTACCTCAGCAGACTTGGATTCCAAATGCAACATTTAAAGACAATGTTCTCTTTGGAAGGCACTTTGACCAAGATTGGTATGATAGAGTCATTCAGGCTTGTGCATTGTTACCTGACCTAAAAATTCTTTCAGGTGGTGAGAACACCGAAATAGGGGAAAAAGTGAGTATCGCTGTAAAGAAAATAACTTTTATATTGTTCAGCATAAATTCTTCATAAAGTGTTAATTACTTTATGTCTTGGTTCTGGCTACCGCATCATTACAGAGAGATAATGTAACAGGAAAAATGGTAATGATTTTCTATATATACCGGTATGTGTATACATTAAATGTTATCTCTTTTTAGGGCATAAACTTGTCAGGTGGACAAAAGCAGCGAATAAGTATTGCGCGGGCTGTGTACAGGAATTGTGATGTTTACTTGTTAGATGATCCTCTCTCTGCAGTGGATGCACATGTTGGGCAGCATTTGTTTGAATGGGTCATTGGACCTAATGGCTTACTCAAAGGAAAGGTAAGTTAATTTCTAAGCATCTTAGAGGTTATATGTACAGTACATAAATAATGTTTTAATAGGTAAACAATAATGTAAGAAAGTGCCATGTCTTTGTATTGTACTGCATGTATAACACTTTGTAAAACCAATAAACACAAAATAATTAAAAAAGATAATGTAAGAAACAGTAAAAATTTAGAATGCCCAACAATTATAATGCTAAAAGGTTTATTACACAGACAATAACATTCCGATTTATCCCAATATTAATTAGATTTTTTTCTGTATGCCTTTGTGCAGACAAATGGCAAATAAATATCCAGAATACTCAAAGATCATTGATCTACAAGGACAGATCTAATTTTTATGTGCATGGCAACAAGCAAAAATAGACATTAGAAAAACGAGGTATCATCTGAAAGCACTACTATCTTACCTGCTGCTGCTGGGGCCCGTCCTCCTCCACCCCCTCCCCTGTCACCTCTGCCATGCCACCCCTGGTACAGGTGATACCCATGTAAGGGGCTGCCCAGACCCCTCACATGGGTACCGGCCGTACCCCCCTGATAGCGGTGTTCTATCAAAGTTTGTGACTACGTTAGAATGTGTAACCGGTGACGTGGTCACACATTTCAATGTAATCACGCCCAGTTTTTCGGTGGTGGAATGTGTGACCACCAATAGGTGAAGCATTCCAACGCTTTCTCAGCTGTTCCAGGGCAGGTCGGCATCACAGATGGTATGTGCAGGAGAACCAATCTTCCCTGGAACAGCTGATCGGTCCTGAAATGTCACTTCTATCCGACTTTGTGACTGCGATCTCACATTCCAACCCACTCACAAAGTCGGATAGAAGAGACATTTCAGGACCGATCAGCTGTTCCAGGGCAGATCGGTTCTCCTGCACATACCATCTGCTATGCCGATCTGCCCTGGAACAGCTGACAAAGCGTTGGAATTCTTCACCTATTGGCGGTCACACATTCCACCGCCGAAAAACTGGGCGGGATTACGTTAAAATGTGTGACACAAACTTTGATAGAACAGCAGCCCTGTCTAATCATTTAATCAGAGAAATAGATTATAATAGGAAACATTACAGTGTCATGTTTCCCATTATAATCCACTTTTCTAATTAAATGAAATAACAGTACACAACCCTCGCCCTCCTCCCTTCCCTCCCCTTCCCAGCTCGGACTCACCCAGCCAGAGCCTCATAGGATCGCAGCCAGATGGTGTGCATTGCAGGGGGCCGGGCGTGTGACACACACACACTTATCCTCTCCCTCCGCATGTGACTAGGGATGCGGCCCGGGAGAGGAGCGGTGAGTCACAGGACCCGCCCCCTCGCTGTGAAACCCGTTCTAACATCGGGACCCTGCACTGCCCTATATTCTACCCGGGGGGGTACATAGGACCAGGCCTCACTGGGCCCCCCCCGCAGCCTCATGCCCCAGTGCAGTCGCAACGGCGGTATTTCCCCCCCTGGACCTATGCCCTGGAGGTTCCAGCAGTGAGGTCTGAACATGGTTATTGAGAGGTATACTTACAGATAAACATTTTTGTGTTACATTTAAAATTTTTATGGCTTTACTTGCTTGTGTATAGTATTTTATTGATGTTTATTTTCCTGCATTTTCTAATTTTGTTTACAGGGCTCTATAGCATATGTACCTCAGCAGACTTGGATTCCAAATGCAACATTTAAAGACAATGTTCTCTTTGGAAGGCACTTTGACCAAGATTGGTATGATAGAGTCATTCAGGCTTGTGCATTGTTACCTGACCTAAAAATTCTTTCAGGTGGTGAGAACACCGAAATAGGGGAAAAAGTGAGTATCGCTGTAAAGAAAATAACTTTTATATTGTTCAGCATAAATTCTTCATAAAGTGTTAATTACTTTATGTCTTGGTTCTGGCTACCGCATCATTACAGAGAGATAATGTAACAGGAAAAATGGTAATGATTTTCTATATATACCGGTATGTGTATACATTAAATGTTATCTCTTTTTAGGGCATAAACTTGTCAGGTGGACAAAAGCAGCGAATAAGTATTGCGCGGGCTGTGTACAGGAATTGTGATGTTTACTTGTTAGATGATCCTCTCTCTGCAGTGGATGCACATGTTGGGCAGCATTTGTTTGAATGGGTCATTGGACCTAATGGCTTACTCAAAGGAAAGGTAAGTTAATTTCTAAGCATCTTAGAGGTTATATGTACAGTACATAAATAATGTTTTAATAGGTAAACAATAATGTAAGAAAGTGCCATGTCTTTGTATTGTACTGCATGTATAACACTTTGTAAAACCAATAAACACAAAATAATTAAAAAAGATAATGTAAGAAACAGTAAAAATTTAGAATGCCCAACAATTATAATGCTAAAAGGTTTATTACACAGACAATAACATTCCGATTTATCCCAATATTAATTAGATTTTTTTCTGTATGCCTTTGTGCAGACAAATGGCAAATAAATATCCAGAATACTCAAAGATCATTGATCTACAAGGACAGATCTAATTTTTATGTGCATGGCAACAAGCAAAAATAGACATTAGAAAAACGAGGTATCATCTGAAAGCACTACTGTTCATGTACCCTTATTTATTGTTGAAGTATATGAATGTCCCATTGCACTCCAGACCATAATCCTACTTTGAATACTTCGATGGGTGCTAAAATGGCCTGCGGGTGGCACCATGTGAATCAACGTATAGAAGAATAAGCCACTAGCGCTACAGAGGTCCTATGTTATCATCCTGTTTTTTGGGGGTTTTTTTACGTCGATAAACATGGCATCGCATACAAAAATTGTATGATAGTACTATAGCAGCCAACAAGTTTTCACCTTGCAATATACATATAAATGAAAGTTAAATTCTCATTGGTTGCTCTGAGTTACTACAGCTTTCACACTGCAATTCATATTTAATTATTAAATAAATAGGCTTAATCATTTTGAATGTAATACTCTATTCAGTATAAATCCCCCTGTGACCAGTACTGGTGTGTAATAAACAAAGAATATTATACTTTAGTCATGCTGAAACGTGCTTATATTCACTTACTGCTCTTAGACCCGTGTTTTGGTAACTCATGGCATCAGCTTCCTGCCACAAGTGGACATGATTGTTGTGTTGTCTGATGGAAGAATTTCTGAAGTTGGCACATACAATGAGCTTCTTCAGAAGAATGGAGCTTTCTCAGAATTCCTGCAAACATATGCAATTACTTCTGAAGAGAGTGATAAGTCTCCAGAAAAATGTAAGTTAATGTACAGTATAGTAAAAAATCATTTGATTTTAAGTATTTTTAATGTAGTATAGTATATCGTTTTTAATACAAGTGTATGAAAAAGACACTAGAAATAGTTTGTGTAGTGTTATGGAACTGCAATGGATTCACCGAAGTCTTTGAGACTAGAGGGTCCAAGCTGCATCCCACACTGCTTCAGGCTAGAGGTTATCTGCATATTGTGTGTGCAGAGACTTGAATTAATAACTATTAGGTTTAGAGTTTCATCACAAGCAGGGATGGGCCTACCGCTGATGGGCAGCTGCACCAGGTCCTGAGGCTGGGGACCCAGTGAGATCTGGTCCAGGGCACCCCCCATTTGTGGAATACAGTGCTAGGGCCCATGGGGGGAAGGGTGTCCAATGGGCTTCTGAACGGGGGTGGTCTGGGGGGGGTCAGAGGCGTTCCCGTTTGGACTCTGGGCCGCATCCCCAGTAATAGGCGGCGGGAGAGGGGAGAGCTGGGCGGGCAGTGTGAGAACCAGAGGAGAGTTGGAGATGGAAAAGGCCGAAGGAAGAGAGCAGGTGAGAGATGAAATGCATCCAAGTATAGAATCAGGTGTGTATGGGGACCAATCAGAACCGGCACAGCTCAGAGATTCCTGTGTACATAGAGATCTCTGTGTATATATATAGATCATGTATTCAAACAGCGCAAACCCCCTAGCATAGAAATCCCATAGTAGGAGCCCTCCAATAAATAGATATTCAAGTATAATATAAAGTGCATCCAAACATATTTATTTAAACATTGCAACACATAAAGATAAATCACCTCATTACATTTAAAACGTATTTAAAAATCGCATAGCTTCCCTGAAGTGACTCAATGTAGGACAGAAATAAACAGGGTTGAAATAACCGCAGGGCAGAGCAGCAGTCATTAATATGAACGGATACACCGTTATGAGGTGGTGGATACTAATGTATCAGCATATGATGATAGGATTACTCACTTGTTCCTCACTTGTGGCCACATTTTATTTTATATGTGTGTATGTGCACGCAAGGGGGGGTGGGTAGAGAGTTGTATAAATGTGTATTAGCGTGTGTGTTTTTGTGTGTGGGGGGGGGGGGGGCATTCACCCCTGTAAGTTTAGGTGTGATTAGGGATTTTTGTATCAGGAATTTGCATTTTTCTGCAGCAGGAATCCCTAATCTGCTGTTTACATGCGCTTGCTGTCACCCATTCAAGTTGATTTTGGGTGACAGCCACTGCATGTAAATGCCAGCACACCACATGTAAGCTCTGCTAAGCTCAGACTGCTACCTGCTAAGCTCAGAAATATAGTTCTGCTTAGGATAGGGACTACCTCTGTCCCTTCACAAACTCCAACTCTCAGGTGTTAGTCTGGCTCAGCAACCTGTCTGTGTAGGCCAGACGGGCCTGGACTCACACTTCCCATCTTTCAGGCTTCAAGCTGCTCTCACAGCAAGTTTTGTCAGTGGTATGAAATTCAACTTTATAGTTAAGTCTTTCTTTGATTCTGTATAATATTCATATTACATTGCATATTACATTGTCAATAATATCTGTATATGTAATTCAAGGCCAAGAGGGAAGGACTGGAGACACCCTAAAAATAGACTCTGTTACTTCCATAAGGTAATACATTTTAAGACTGTTGTTATTTTATGGTGCACTTTGCACGTGCAATAACCTATTAATTAAATCACAGGAAGACAGAAGACGTGGAGATGGACATAGATACTGAGGGAGATGCAGATGCCGGAAAGCTCACAGAGGCAGACGTCGCACTCACGGGCAGGGTAAAATGCTTGTTATTTTATATGTAATATATTATTACAAAAAAAGTTGTGAGAGAGTAAGCTGTGTTGTTGGGTGATGTGGACTTTAATGATTTAAAAGTATACTATAGAATAGTTTTTGCATTCCGACATATTCACTCATTAAAAAACCAGTGCAAATGTTATATTTTTAAAAGCCACAATGGTGCAATGAACTCTGTTGCAATGTACTGAGTGGCAGTATATAGATTGTACTGTATAGGACACATGCAGTGGTGCATGAATGAAATAGCAGCAAATGCATCAAGAACAGGATGTTGTAATTGCAGAAAGCATTCGATTCGGTCTCTTGGGAATACTTGCTGCAATTACTAAAGAAGTGGGGATTTGGGCCCCATTTCCTACATATATTTCAAGTATTATATTGCTCACCCTCAGCACAGATTAGATTTCAGCGATATTCGTCAGACCCCATCTTAATTTGAAGAGGCACAAGACAGGGGTTGTCCCCTTTCGCCACTATTATTCGCCATAGCGTTAGAACCTCTGGCTATACTACTTCGAGACACGAGATCACAAATGCGCTTTGTTCGCAGACGATATGCTGCTTTTTGTTACCTCCCCTCTTGTCTCATTACCCAATATTATGGCACATATAGAAGAATTTGCACAGATATCGAGTCTCCGGGTTAATGCTTCTAAGTCTGTGGCATTAAATATTAATCTTCCTCCTGAGCTGTGGTCGGGGCTTAAAAACTCTTTTCCATTTGAATGGCAATGTGATTTTCTTCAGTACCTTGGAGTAAAAATTACTCCTTCTTACACCAAATTATATCCAATGAATTACCCTCCACTATACAAATATCTAAGAGAAGATATGAGGCGGTGGTCCTCCTATAACCTTTCTTGGATGGGCCGTATCTATTCAGTCAAAATGATTTTACTTCCTAAAATTCTGTACTACTTTAGAACCTTACCAATCCCGAATCATCGGGCTGAACTTCTCAACCTGCAGATGTCCATTATGAACTTTATCTGGGGCAATAAACATCCTAGAATTTCACAATCCATCCTGTTTCAATCTAGAGCCCAGGGTGGCCTAGCGGTTCCCAATCTACTCCTCTACTATAAGGCAGCACAGTTGGCACAGCTATCCTCTGTTTATTCCTGGGTAGCTGACCCAGATTGGGCTAAAATAGAAATTGGCTTGGCCAGGGGCACTCCTATTGAAGTATTGAAATGGATGAGTCCCAAGCAAAGGCCAACGATACTAGCTCCTACCCTGTCACATTCTATGGCCCTGTGGGATCGGTTGCGAGGTATGGAAGGTATGGGCAAAACAAACGACAAACGCACTAACAATTCGTTACCAGTTATACAGTAAGGTGCACACGCATTTGTGCGTTTGTCGTTTGTTTTGCTTGACCGATTTGGTGCAGCGACGAATGGGGTTTCTCAGCTGCCATTAGGATGTGCGGGATCCCTTGTGTGTTTCTGTGCCTTTAAGGAGGTTGGGCGTCCTCCTGACAAACCTGCACCCAATTTGATATCTTCTGCCCCCATGTGCTCCAAGATGGAGACTCTCATAGTTTAGAGTTAGGACCGCACTATAAGAGGTGCCTTGGCGCGGCAGTGCGGCTTTCACATCCTCTGCAGAAGACGTGTATCCAAACCTCTGTCATTATCCTTAGTGGTGAGACAAGTTGTTTTACATGCTGGTTTGTGAGTGTGCCATGATGCCTTTCTGCTGTTTTACTGTATGGAAGGTATGGTCTCCCCCCATTCTCCTTTGGCACCACTGTTCAATAATGTGAATTTTCAACCAGGACTGCAGACCAAAACATTTCAATGGTGGGTTGACAAAGGCCTGTATAGAATCGGAGACCTAATTAAGAACCATAAACCAATATCCTTGGGATATTGCCAAAGCATTCTTCAGATGCCACCATCAGAAATGTTCAGATTTAGGTAGATCCAGCACTTCCTACAGTCATTAAAGATACCGGAAGTGGGCATTCCATTGCTGACACATTATAAAAAGTGGTGTCTGGGAGTCTCTGGTCAAGAAGGAGGGATCTCTATAATCTATGCAGCTCAGCTTGGCCCTTTCACTAAACTATCTTATATGGCTGCTTGGGAAGCTGAACTAGGGGAAGTTCTCCCTATAGACAAATGGAAGCAGTATACCATGAGATTAAATATGGGACTGCTCAATATCTCCCTATTGGAAGCTAACTACAAAGTCTTTGCTAGATGGTATCTGGTTCCAGTAAGGATAGCCACCATGTTCGCAGGGGCTAGCCCCTTATGCTTTGAAGGATGCAACCAGCAGGGCACGACGATTCATGTTTGGTGGAACTGCCCAAAACTGTGTCCCTTCTGGAATCGCTTCTTTGCCCTGCTCTTTAGAATACTCCGGGTGTACGTCCCGAGAGACCCCCAGCATTTGTTATTGAATAAACCAGTCAAGGGGCTCACTAAGGCACAGGGCAAACTATTATCCTTTTTCTTCTTAGCAGCCAAGTTATCAATAGCACGGTCTTGGAAAACCGAAAGGGTCCCATTCTCTATGGTACTATCTAAATTAAACTGGATCATGGCACACGAGAAGTTATATAGCATATTACAAGATAGATATCATAACTTTCAAGCGGTATAGGACCCATGGTTGATATATCTAAGAATCCTGAATCCCATCCATACATAGCCAGCAAATCAAGGCTAAATCTTGATCAGAATCCTGGTCGGCAGGAGTCCCCATTTTCCTACTCCCCATCCTTTTTCTTTTCTTTCTTTTTCTCTTTTCTTTCCTCTATTAATAAATTAAGGTCTCCATTTTTTTGATACCCGGGGCAAGCGAAATAAATGAGCTCGCCAAGAGTAATTATCGTATGTAAAATCAGTAAATAATAACGGTACCCTTATAGATAAGTCGGTAATTTTTGTCATACTGGCCCCCTGATTGGAAGTAGATACTCATCGGTTGGAATGATATCCAGCTAATGAGTTTATAATAGCATGGACAAGTTCTAAAGGGGGGAGTGTTAGGGAAGGAGCGAAGTCCCCCTGTTTGCTGGATTGGAACCCAATAGCAGGGAACAATCCCCGAAGGAGAGTCCAGGCAGAGGTACAAGAAAGGATAATCCAAAATGCGTTGTCAGAGTACAGTCCGGGTCGAGGCAGGCAGCGAGTATCATAAACGGTGAGGCAAGCCTAGTGGTCGATAACCAGGAGATCCGAATAGCAGGGAAGTGAGGCAGGAAACAGGAAATGAGGCGTTGTAGCTGCTTAGGGAATGGCATTATAACTCAGCAACAAGTCTTGGCTCTGGCTGGAATTTAAACCCAGCAGGGGCCAGCGACGCCCCCGTTGTCTGGGCAACAGGAAGCCACAGGTCCCTGCGAACCAATGGGACGGCTGGGAGAGAAGGAGTGCTTGCAAGGCCCTTCCCGGCAATGACCAGCACCCGAAGCAACTAAGAAGCCACGGCATTGCCACATGTGCACGTCACGCACGCATGTCATGCATGCGCTTATGTGCACACATGCAGCACGCCGCCGGGCACCAATTCACCCCAAGAAGGACCCTACGATCTCCGTCGCACCCGCCGGACCCCAGGTAAGAGGGCACCCCTGGTCCCACGACAGGGAGAGGGGACACTGTGGTGAGACTATAGGCTTTTCCGACATGTTATTGTGTTACATATGATATTGGAATGTAACAAATTTTTACTGTATAAGATGGAAACTAATAAAAATTTTGAAATAAAAAGAACAGGATGTTGTTCTTGTAGGTAGGACCTCAAGCTCCCTTAACAACCAATATAGTTCCTGCAGGGCCTATGAAAAGCCATTCTAACTGTAAGGTAGCTCTAAGCATTACTAGCAAAACTGTGCCTGTTTCAGAAACAACAATATAACATGTAACTTCATTAGAATTATGCATATTTGGAAGAGCCAAAGGGAGGGGACACTTTAGCAGCAGTCAGAGGGTGGGGCAAACTTGGTGCAACAGTGGTATGTGGGAATATCAGTGTGGCAATGGCGTGAGGAACTACACACGCAGTACACACAATCCCCTTCCCCCAACACATAGCTACAGCATTTGTCTGGCACTCACACACATGATGCATCATCTCCTCTTCCTGACACTTCTTTTATTCATGCTGTTCGTTTTGCTCAATCAATATGGTCCAGTGAATAAGTGGCATGTTTTGCGTTCCTTGCACACTATATTAGCGGCTGTGTTTTAGACTCACTTATTGTGACTATGTCAAGTTAGGGGTGAAGGTAGGCAGTTGTGGCAGATGTGGTGGTGAGGGGTCTTAGGTTTAGTGGCGGGTCTGGTATTTGTGGTAATTGAAGAATGAGTAGGAGGATTGCTGTTAGGCATGGTAGTGAGTGCAAGGGGACAAAAGGTGTTGTGGCAGCATTGAAAAGAGAGGGGGTTGTAAGGCACAGTGAGGGGGGCATGAGGCATGGTGGTGAAAGCAGGAAAGGGTATTCTTGTAGGCAGGCTTAGTGGTAAAGTGAGGGGGCTGACAGGTGTGGTAGTGGGTTGATGGATGGCACAGAGGGGAGGATGTGTATGGCAGATGCTACGGGGGTAGCAAGGGTGGGGGGATAACAGTTGTGAAAGGTGAGAGGGAGGGGGCTGTGTTGAGAGTGGAGGTATGTGTTTGTGATTGGTGCTGTTGTGTGATAGTGGTCGTGAATGGTTCTGGCGTGTGGTGTGGTGTGGTGGCGGTGGGGGGGCTGTACTGCTTTGTTGAAGAGGGCAATCTTCTTGGCAGCGTCCTGCTCATGTACATGTGCGGTATGGTCTCCAGTATATTAATGACCAGGGCTCGAAAAATCAGTGGAGCCCGACGAGCAGCTTCCCGGCCGGCCGTTGTAATGACATGGCCGGCCGGGAGCTTAACACAGTCAAGCGATCGAGCGTCTCTATAGACGCTCGATAATGACCGTTGTTTTACTACTGCATGTGTACAGATTATGTACTGAAATCACTACCGCACATTCACAGGATCTCTCAGCCATATTGTAATGTCAGAAATATGGCAGTGAGATCCTGCGAATGTGTGGTAGTGACCAGTTTGTACTACCACTAATGCGCATGTGCAGGATCTCACGATATATTTTTGACATCACAATATTGTAGCATGTGCAGCAGTGGCAGTACAGACCAGTCACTACTGCACATATGTGGGATCTTGTTGCCCCATTGATGGCAGCCTTGCCGTGACACATCATTCCGTCCAATCTTTAGATGACAATATGCATGTCAGGGGGTATTGCCATATAGTACTGCAAAAGCATGTTATATGTTCTCCCTGTCTTATTGTTAGCAGAAGTACGCATATGCAGTGACTTAGGCATCATCCTGCAAATCTAAATTCATCTTAAGGATACATCACGAACCACCATATTGTTATGAAACCCAAATGGAACCCCAAATCCATCCTGCAGAAGTCCAAGTAGGGAAGTTATTCTGTGAAAATTTCCCTTTCAGAATAGATATGTTTATTTCAACTAAATAAACATTATTTGTCTCTAACCAGCTAAGCAAATGCTAATCCTATATTATTATGAACATGCCATCAGAATATCAGCATGAAACTAAGGGGGACACAAAAACTCAATTTCACTTCCTGTATTTGTTTTTTACAATAACTATTCATGACAAGAATATGGTGACATCATTTTTATATTGTAATGGCTAATGCATCACTAGGATGAGTGTATTAGGCAGAAAAATGTATTTACTATTATAGCAAATATTGGAGTTAATAAAGAGTAAAATCAGCTTCTGTCTTTTTGTTGCACTTTGTTCATCATTATCAATGCTTTGTTAAGGAAGGCTTATTATAGACTCCTATATTATGTAAATGTATTTCCACTAATCTTTTATATGTATGCTATTTCTAGGTCAAGTTTACAGTGTATCTAGAGTACTGCAGAATTATGGGCAAGTGGTATTTGGTAACAAGTGCAGTCTTCTTCATCATACAACAGCTATCAGCCCTTGGTCATAATTACTGGATTGGACTGTGGGCTGATGATCCGCCTGTGAATGGCACCCAGCAGAATACTGTAATGAGACTAGGAGTGTACAGCTTTCTAGGCACAATGCAAGGTATGTCAAAAAAATATATATTTCTGTTTAAATTTTAAAGTAGTTCTGTAAAATGGACTGTGTCTATTGGTGACTAAATGCAATGGATCAGATTATAAAAAAAATAAAAGGAAAATACACAAGAGCAGAGATAAATAATTTTGATGATAACCAGGGACGTCCCTAGAATTTTTCGACACCTCAGGCAGCCACGAGAAGGGGAACGAGCTGTCAGCCAGGTTGGAGGCAGCTAAGTGGGAGACGGCGGGCTAAGCTTGGATAGGGTGAAACGTGTCAGCTGGTTGGACTAAATGCTACTGCGTGACCTGTACTAACTACTAACTAATCATGGCAAGTGAGATACGGAGTGCGACTGGATTTCTTTTCTTTCATCCAGACAACAGTGACTGCTGGAGGGTGGATGTACTCCAGCTGGCAGGCACCTGTTCATAGTTTTCCCCCAGCAGTTGTGGAGGAGCGGTGTCAATCTAAAAAAAAAGAAAGAAAGTTAGTGAGAACTTTACTCGAAGGTGCCTATCTTCTTCCTTCAGTGGAAGTATAGATTGCTCACATGCCCCAAAACTCATTAAACTCACTAGGCATGTTGCGAGGTTATCCTGTGGGTTCGCCCAACAGAAAGGAACAATCCTTGGGGCACAAAAAAATCCTAATGTTGACTTTAGCATTAGAACCCTTTGCTCCTCAGCGAAGCACTTTTCCCTTCGGGTATAATGTGGAGGATTTTCAGTTTGTAGTCTATTACCACACCCCTGTAACACCCTTGTTGCTATTTGGACAGACTCAGTTTATGTTGTTTTAATTGTGTCTAAACCACCTCCCCCCCCCCCCCCCCCTTCTAGGCTTGGAGGAAGTACTATTAAGTATTTTATCTTTTTACCTTGGATCTTCCTCTTCCTTCTTCAAGGTTAGATAAATATATATCTACTGAGCCTTAGCAGTCCTCTATTTGAATTGCATATTGACATGTCCTGTTTGTACAAGCTTCCTGATGTCAAGAATTAGCATGCTAAGCTTGACCTCTTCCCACAGTTGTCCAAATGTTTTTTTCACTAATGATCATAATGAATTTAGCTTTTGTTGACAATGTAGCCATTTAATCCAGTCCTCTTGCTCTCATGAGGTATTACGCAATTACACCTTTATTTTAATAAACTGTTTCTGTTTTTTTGTTTGCTCTGCTGAAGACCATTTTGCCACTTGGGATGATTTATATCCCCATCTGTACACAGGTTTGACATCAGTGACCTTTCCTCCATCCAGTCTTTCTTTCAGGCGGTGGTGTCTTCTATATTACATGTAGTGTGAGTCCATGTCGCTGGATGTCTCTGTAGCTATTTGGCTTCAGTTGGACTGCTTTTGGACTTCCCATTCATCTAAGATTATCTATTATTCCTGTGTCCCTCAATGGATAATAAAGACATACAAAATGCTCTACCTAACCATTAAATATATTTCTTTAAGTCCATTGAGGGATAGAGGTCCTGCCCCTCTTTGTATTTGTTTTTATTTAATGCTTGCTCACAAAACTGAGACATGATGATTGGAGGTGGGGCTATACAGGGGGCTGGCTTAATGTTTTCTGTTTGCCCATGTCCCAGCCTCCTAAAGGTGGTGGTATAAGATTATCTACTTATCCAGTTTCCCTCAATGGACTTCAAGAAAAAGATTTTATGGTATGTACAAAAGTCTTGTATTTCTTTTTAACTCATTGAAGACATTGGACATATAGTGTATGCCCTAAAAACTTCTACAAATTACCTTGGGTGCACGTCCTACATCATGTCAATCCCCCGACCACTATTTACTTCAAATCCTGGCTGTCAAAATGACAGCTGGGCTTCTAAACAGGGACCAAACAGTGTTTAGAAGCTTCATTGAGAAATACAATGTAAACATGTTTGCTATATTGCATTTTGTTTCTTTCATGTGCACATCAAAGGGTTGACCAGTAAACTGCATACAATATCCGTTATAGCAACCTTACAAGTAAGCATAAAATGTGTTCCTATATAACTCCTTATTACCCTAGTCAGCACTAATCAACTTTATCCTTTCCTTCTATTAACTATTATTGATTGCTGTTTTAGTTTTCAAATCTTTTTTTAGCTTTATAATTTTTTTGTTTTCATTGTAGTATGGTAATTGTGTTTAGTGTTGCTTAAAGGGTAAGTTCACTTTCCCAAAGGAATTTGGGAAAATTAAATTACCCCCTCCAATCTGTTTGGCCACCATACTGCCATGTAGCGCAGTCCTGCGCTATGGATTTTGAATTTCAGGTGACCATGCTGACCAGTGAGTGTTTGCCATTTGTGAGCAAAATTCAAAATCCATAGCACAGGGCTTCGCTACATGGCAGTACGGGGTACGGATAGTACATCCTGTTATGGAAATTCGCTTGGTTAAACGCACAAATCCATGCGGCCCTAAAGTGCGGCAAAGTATGTCAAACACAAAGAATTTCCCCCGTGCTTAAAAGCATGGTTGTATTACGCCCTTTTTGCGCGAGGACTGGAAGTACCCCTTCAGAGTCATGTAGAGTTAGGACACAGGAGACAGGTGTTGCTTTCTTGCTAGTTCCATTCTTAGAGACTCAGCACAGGTATTTGTTTATTTTTATAGCTGTCAGACAGGAAGTGATGTCTCAAACAGCAAACCAGGAAGTGGGGAGAGACAGGAAATGAACAGAAAACCACCATCACTTCAACATAACATAGCCAGCTAACAAAACACATGTATACAATAATCTCCTATTACCACCGGAGTGAACTTTATCCAGCATTGCTCAGTGATAAATGCCCAATAACGTTACTATGATTCTCATGCGTGCTTATTTACAGGGACAACATCATATTATCTCCAACGGTTGTTCAGGCGCACTAGAGACAACAAACGCATGTTCCTTTCATATACTGCGTTCATATACCTAATAAAATTTCCACAACAATCCATACCAGGGGAGGGGAAAGAGCTCAATATTTTAGGTTTTTTTATTTGTAGTACCTTTACAATGTGTTACGTACCTTCTGGGAGACCGGATGTGAGAGGAGGCTTCCCTTGCACCTTGTGTCCTGGGAGACTCTGAGGATGGGAACAGAGCCCAGCGGGACAACAAGTGGCAGGAGTGCCAGTGGTGTTGAGCACCGTGCAAGCCGTAATCCAATGAGACTGAGCACCGTGCAAGCCGTAATCCAATGAGACGAGCCGAGGTCAGGTTCCAAGCGGGCAATTTCAGTACAAAAGGGGTCAGGCAGAAGAATGGTCAAATAACAGTTCCGTGGTCAAGGCAGGCAGAATTCAAGGTTTGTCGAGGAAGTCCGGGTCACAAGGATCAAGCAAGATATCACAAAAACTGGAACAAGGATTAGCTAACGATAAACCAGCAACATGGTGGCACTGCTGCTGGGTTTATATAGGGCCAGTGATGTCATTTCCTGTGCGCCGCTAAGGCGCATTTTCATGCTGGTAAACCACTGCTTCTGCGCATGCGCGGGATGGTGCATTTTCGTGCTCGTAAGTTACTGCTTCTGCGCATGCGCGGGATGGTGGGGATCCGTTACACAATGTTTTGCACTATAATCATAATTATATTGTCATTAAAATGGGAGAAATTATAGAATAAAATGTATTATTTTATTTACAGCAACTAGTTGTTTTTAAAACAAACAATGGCCAAAGTAGGAGAAAGTGCATTCATTTTTACGTTTCGCTACATATTTTAATCAATATCTTGCATAGAAAATAAAAAAGCTTTTGCAAGACAATATCACATGGAGAAAGCTTTGTGTGTTCCCTAAAAAAAGTATGTGTGCTTTAGCAAAAATTACACCCAGTTAGGGTTTGTATCTATTTTAATCATAGATTTATATCTAGTTTACAATTATTTATTTGCAGACTTTAGGGATGTTCAGATACCAAATACTGTACTTGGTACAAGTACAAGTTCTTTTCCAGCTCCAGGACTAGACTAAAAGGAAAAAAATAAAAATCTGACATATTCCACGCAAAACTCTAAAAATGGACAGGACAAAATTATTGGCACCCTCAATTAATATTTGGTAGCACAGCCCTCGGAAAAAAAAACTGAGATCAATCGGTTCCTGTAACCATCAATGAGTTTCTTACACTTCTCTACAGGAATTTTGGACCACTCTTCTTTCGCTAACTGCTCCAGGTTTCTCAGATTGGAAGGGTTCCTTTTCCCAACTGCTGCTTTGAGATCTCTCCACAGGTGCTCTATGGGATTCAGATCTGGAGTCATTGCTGGCCAGTCCAGTACTCTCCAGCGCTTTGTCTCAAACCATTTCTGGGTGCTTTTTGACGTGTGCTTTGGGTCATTGTCCTGCTGTAAAACCCATGACCAACTTTCTAACACTGGGCCCTACTTGCACCCAAGAATTCTTTGGTAGTCTTCAGATTTCATAATGCCATACACACAGTCAAGACATCCAGTGCCTAAAGCAGCCCCAAAACATCAGTGATCCTCCAGCATGTTTGACTATAGGGACTGTATTTTTCTCTTTACCCCTTCGTGACGGGAGACGTACACTGTACGTCCCGGCACTTTGTGCCTATATGACTGGCCACGTACACTGTACGTGATGAGTTATATCTGGCTCTGTAATGCCGGTAAAGAAAAACTGTAATTTTGTTTCGTCTGTCCACAGCACATTCTCCCAAAAGGAATTTGACTTCCTCAGGTAAGTTTTGGCAAACTCCAATCTGGCTTTTTTATATTTCTGTGTCAGCAGGGGGGTCCTCCTGTTGTCTCCTACCATAGTGTTCCTTTTCATTCAGATGGCGACATATAGTGCGAGCTGACACAGTTGTACCCTGTGCCTGAAGGTCAGCTTGAATTTGTCTGGAAGTTGATCGTGGGTCTTTATCCACCATTCGAACAATCCTTCATTGCATTCTTTGATCAATTGTTCTCTTTCGTCCACGTCCAGGGAGATTAGCTACAGTGCCACGGTCTGTAAACTTCTTGACAATGTTGCACACAGTGGACACAGGAACATTAAGATCTCTGGAGATGGACTTGTAACCTTGACATTGTCCATGCTTTTCCACAAAAACTTGGAATGCAATTATTTCTTACAATTTGGAGAAGGTGCCAATGTGGAGAGATCTCAAAACAGAAGTTGGGAAAAGAAACCCTTCCAATCTGAAAGACCTGGAATAGTTGGCGAAAGAAGAGTGGCCCAAAATTTCTGTAGAGAGGTGTAAGAAACTCATTGATGGTTACAGGAACCGATTGATTTCAGGTTTTTTTTCTCCAAGGGCTGTGCTACCAAATAATAATTGAGGGTGCCAATAATTTTGTCCAGTCCATTTTTGGAGTTTTGCGTTGAATGTGTCAGGTTTGGCTTTTTTTTTCCTCCAATTTTTTGTGTCATACCAATACAAACAAAAAAATAAACATTTGTGCGCAAAGTGGTGCATTATCTGACACAAATGCAGGGGTGCCAATATTTGTGGCCATGACTGTATATATACAGCTAACAGCTTTCTAACAGCTTTCTCCTGTCTTAACTGACAAACTGTCATGTTGATCAGTATTGCTTCTGACCTGAAGAAGAGAGGTTCACTCTCGAATTTTTGTAAAACAATACAGCCTAATGATTTCAGGACAGTAGTGGAGCGCCAGGAGTGTCAGCACTGATATCTGAAGTGGTATGTCAACATCCCTAGCAGACTTTGTTTGATGTATTAATAGCTTTGTGTTTTTTTTCCTCCACAGCTCTATGTATTTATATAGCATCTGCCACTATAATTGTTGGAGGAGTGTCAGTGTCCCGTCAGCTCCACTGCAAACTTTTGTACAGCATCATGAGGTGCCCCCTAGGCTTTTTTGAAAGAACACCGAGTGGAAACCTAACCAACCGATTTGCAAAGGAAATGGACACTATAGATAATATCATCCCCCACATGTTAATGATGCTTATAATTATGGCACTAACCATATTGGAGATACTACTGGTCATTGCAATAGCCATACCTCTGGCTGCTGTGGTCTTTATACCTCTGGGGTTACTCTACTTTTTCTTACAGGTAATTATTGGATTGTCTGGGCCACACATTTTAATATGCATGCATTATGATTATGTTCACGAGTTATAGAAATAGAGTTCATTAGGAATAGAGTTCAGGAGAGAACTATCTTGGAAAGTTCACCCTTTCAGGTGCAGTACCCAATGTGTGGGATGACACATGTGGTTTTAAATGTTGTAGAAGGGAACTGGGGATATATTAGTGCTTCCTTTTTAGTAATACAGATACTACTCTTGCATTTATACTTGCGAGCAGGGGTGTTCCTGGCTTTTTTGCTGCATGAGGCAAAGTTAAAAGAAAAAAAATTTAAACAGTGACAACTCCAGTAGTGCGGGATACATAGAGTATGGTAAAAGTGCTCTGGAAGCTCTACAGCTGCCCATATCACTTGTACTCAAACACCTTCCCCCTGCTATAAAAATTACATCAATATGGGTAAAATATAAAAGAGAAGGTTGCGGAAAGTAAATAGATACAAAACATGCCAAGCTTCAAAATTGCGTGCACCCATGAAATTGCAAAAAACTACAGTACCCAAAATTGTCTGTAGGCGACATTTAAAAGCTTTTACAGGTCATCAGTTAAGAGTTACCCAATAATAATGGCCTGATAAAATATTGCTCTCTGTTTTCATAGGTGCACCCAAAGTTTGTTTCTGTTAATATGTGCATATATGCAGGGCTTGGGACTTTTAACAAACTTAAAAAAAAATTTTTAAAACTGACTTTATTGCTGTCACATAGGATAGGATTTGACAGGTCCTCTTTAAGGAGATAAAAAAGAGAAACATAAAAAAGAAACACCGCCTATCCTGGTGCAAATAATCCTTTTATTTGTTAGAAAGAATAAAAGTGATAAATGGTACTCACAAAAGAGGTGGATAAAAAGCATGTTGGACATAAATCTCAAGATGCATGCAGATTCCTTGCAGTCAGAGAAAACAATCCAAATATGCTGCAGCAGACCAGCAGAAAGAAGCTGACTCAGCTGAACGCGTTTTCGGGGAGTTTCCCCTTCCTCAGAATGGTGACATTAGGGGGTCTATGAGACCCCCAATGTCAGCTTTACAGCCCAATAAAACTAATCAAGCACAGATCGTGTTAGACCAGCTTCGTTTCCAGGCTCCTTGGCCATGGAATGACAGCTGAGAAACTGGAAGTGAGGAATCATTCTCACCTCCAGGTTCATTCAGCATGGAGGAGATCAGCAAATGGATGTTTGGATGGGCAATAGAGCCAGGGTATCAGACAGGAAGGGGGGGTGTACATGTCAGAGCTCCTGGAACTGATCGAGTGGCTTCACAGCTGCCTTACAGATGTAAACATACTCCTGGGTGCAATAGCTGCTGTCTGCTTACAGGGGCTCACTGCTGCCAATGTATGACATATGTCGGCAGCAACATAAGGATTAAACTTTGCAGCTACTGCTGTCTGCTATCAGGGGTGGCAGACAGCTTACTGCAAACATTGTGCAGTAGCTTTGGCCACTGCCCCCCACATGACTAAATAAAAATCTTAGGTGGCCTCAATGTAGTGACGGCCCTGCTTGTGATCAGTAGATATAGCCACGAGCCCAATTTTTTTTTTTTTAAATACTACTAGATAAGTTACAAAAATATTTTTAGGATTACTTTACAGTCTAAGTTTGTGCAGCTCTTTTGTGTGTTTTTATACCAAGCGAGCTAGAAAAGTGTAGCAGTTATAGACTGCCTATATTTTACTTGAGAAATAGAAGTTTATTCCTGAAAAATGGGCTACTATTTAAACATAAATGTCTAGTGGAGTTCACTTAAACATTCTTAATTTGAAAAAAACAAGTGAACCTTAGCTAGACATTAGATAATTTAACAAAAATCAATCAACTAACCTCTGCAAGGGGCACAAATGTTGGTATTGCTTAGTGTAGTTGCACATCCATATACAGTATACTGCTATGTGAACCTCATTATATTGCAAATGGTGCACATAGTTGAACTTTAAAGCAGTAGAATAAAGGTCAAGGTGTTTAGAAAAGTTGGTGATGATCAGCTTCAAACACAGAAACCCTTTAAAGGAGAACTATGGGGTCAGTGTTTTTCCCCATAGTTCTCCTTAGGGTAATGGGAGGACACAAACTAGCGTCCTCCCGTTACCCAATGTACAGTATAATGGAAACAATGTAAAAGGCATATTCAGTAAACCATGCTGACCAATTTTTACTAATCAAGAAAACTTTGGACGGTTAAAATAATTGGTTGTCTGTCTGCTTAAACAAATAGCTTACTTTTATCTTTTTATTACAGAGATTTTATGTTGCCAGCTCTCGGCAGCTGAAACGTCTGGATTCAGTGAGTAAATCTCCTTTGTACACTCATTTCAATGAAACACTGCAAGGTGTAAATGTCATACGAGCATTCAGAGAACAGGACCGTTTTATTCAAGAGAACAATCTACGTCTTAATACCAACCAACGGTTCTATTTCTCCAGTTTTGTTGCAAACAGGTAACTGAAAGATAGAACTGGTGAAAACATTTAAAACATATTGATTCTTAATATTGTGTCGATTCTAGTGTAAAAAATTAGCTTGAGACTAAGAGGTTTAGAATTATTTTACTATTAGCATTAAACAGGGCCTTGTGAAAGTATTGACCTCTTGATGTTTTTCCTGTTGTATTGCATTACAACCTGTATTTAAAATGGATTTTTGAAAGGTTTGTACCACATGATGTCCACAACATGCCTACCACTTTGTAGGTGCAAAATAATTTGTATTGTGACAAAAACAATAATTAAGACAAAAATAAAACCGAAATCTTGAGTGTGCATAAGCATGAAAATGAGGTGGGCCAACCAATTAACGTTAGAAGTCCCATAATTAGTTGATAGAGATCCATCTGTGTGTAATCAAAGTGTTACCTAATTTGTCACATGATGGGACCTGTTCTGAAAGGCCCCTGAGTCTGCAACACCACTAAGCAAGGAACGTGAAGACCAAGAAGCTCAGAATACAAAGACAATTTCCAAGTGAGCATATGGGGTCTGAGACCAATGTGTTCCAGAGTGAGATAAAAGTCCAGTCGACCCTGTTGAAGGTCTTTTCCACATCAGTTGACAGAACAAAGCTAGATGAGGCACCAAACAGGGCCAAGTGAATGAGGTTGAGAGCCCTGGGTAGTGTTTTCATGGGACTCCCTAATGGGGACCCCTCATGGTCCGGGCGGATAAGATTCTGGAGGTAGCCACTGTGCTTTTTCACTGGCTGACTACATAAGCATATAATAATGTATTGCATATGCTGGTCAGTATAACAAAGTGTGAAAGCTGACCAAATTTTTTATGGTTTTACTGATTGCCATACGTATGCCTTCTTTTCATGGATTGTGATTAAAGGGAAGGTTGGGATCCCTGTTTGAGAGTGGTAATGGGTATTCAGCGTTATCACTCCCAAAGACTTTCTTCCATATTCGTAGCAAGAGATAATTTGTTTGAAAACAGGAATCAGGCTTTTTTTCCACATACAGCATGCCAGAGGTTAGCTTTGCCCACGTTTGCTTAAAAAGTTGCAAAAGAACAGTAGCTTCTCCACTCTTAAGGTGCCTATACACCTTACAATTATCTGCAGATTTTCTGTGGTGAGATGGAAAAAGTGCAACAGATTGGCCCAGGTGGAGATTACTCCATCCACACAGTTATGTGTAGATGGAGGAATCTGTTGCACAATTCCATCTGACCACAGAAAATCTGCATATAATTGTAAGGTGTATGGCCAGCTTTAGCGTTATTATTGAAAAGTGTGCCAGTATGTGTGCACCTAAGCAGATAGGTAAATACACTATATTGCCAAAAGTATTGGGACACCCCTCCAAATCATTAGATTCAGGTGTTCCAATCACCTCCATGGCCACAGGTGTATAAAATCAAGCACCTAGGTATGCAGACTGCTTCTACAAACATTTGTGAAAGAATGGGTCGCTCTCAGGAGCTCAGTGAATTCAAGCATGGTACCGTAATAGGTCCATCCTTGCTAATTTCCTTGCTACTAAATATTCCACGGTCAACTGTTAGTGGTATTATAACAAAGTGGAAGCAAATGGGATCAACAGCAACTCAGCCACGTAGTGGTATGCCACGTAAAATGACAGAGCAGGGTTAGCGCATGCCGAAGCGCGCAGAAGTCGCCAACTGTCTGCAGAGTCAATAGCTACAGACCTCAAAACTTTGTGTGGCCTTCAGACTGGCACAACAACAGTGCGTAGAGAGCTTCATGGAATGGATTTCCATGGCCGAGCAGCTGCACCCAAGCCTTACTTCACCAAGTGCAATGCAAAGTGTTGGATGCAGTGGTGTAAAGCACAACGCCACTGGACTCTAGAGAAGTGGAGATGTGTTCTCTGGAGTGACGAATCACGCTTCTCTGTCTGGCAATACGATGGATGTGCCTGGGTTTGGCGGTTGCCAAAAGAACGGTACTTGCCTGACTGCATTGTTCCAAGTGTAAAATTTGGTGGAGTGCTGATTATGGTGTGGAGTCGGTTTTCAGGGGTTGGGCTTGGCCCCTTAGTTCCAGTGAAGGGAACTCTTAAGGCATCAGCATTCATGCTCCCAACTTTGTGGGGACAGTTTGGGGATGGCCCTTCCTGTTCCAACATGACTGCGCACCAGTTAACAAAGCAAGGTCCATAAAGACATGGATGAGCGTGTTTGGGGTGGAGAACCTTGACTGGCCTGCACAGAGTCCTGACCTCAACCCGATAAAACACCTTTGGGATGAATTTGAGTGAAGACTGCGAGCCAGGCCTTCTCGTCAAACATCAGTACCTGACCTCACAAATGCGCTTGTGGAAGAATAGTCAAACATTCCCATAGACACACTCCTAAACCTAAGACTGGACTAAGACTGGGATGCCATTAAAGTTCATGTGCATGTAAAGGCAGGCGTCCCAATACTTTTGGCAAGATAGTGTATATTTCCCCTTTACAGCTGGTGCTGTAGAAGTAGGACAGATAGGAAGAATATTAGCAAAATAGAAAGGCTCTTGTAGATGGGCCTAATGTGTAATTGCAGCGTTCTCCTTTCAAATGCAGCATTGATCAAACACTTACATTTGCGCTAATGTACAGATAAAGTACAGAAACAGAATGTGATTTCAGGACATGTTTGGAATGTGCTTCATTTGCTTTAGAATCTTGTTTGTCAATATGGATTTAAATTAAGGAATGGATGGCAACATTGCAGATTTGCTTAGGATAAGCAGTGTACACAGAAACACCATGCAAAGAAAAGTATATCAAACACAACCTTCTATTGGTCATTAACAATGGAAAATTAAAATCAGTTAAAACTGAATTAGGGCATGTTTCAAACACAAGTCAAATGCAGTAAATTAAAACCACACTCTTGGAAAAATTATAACTTACACACCGCACCCGGTGTGTGTTATGTGCAGAGAGGGCTGCTGCAAAGTAAAAAAACTCTTACCTTACTTTATCACAGAATTGCTTGTATTCTTTAAAATGACAAGACATTTTGTGAATGAGCAATAGTGAGGAGGGTGATGAGACTGGAGCGCTCTTCTGCTTGGGCCACATCCCTCCTTCTCGTCAGTGCCCAGATGCTTGGCGTTATGTGTGGGAGACGTGCGTGAATTATAATTTTTTGCTTTAACCTCTTGCCGTCCGCCCGTAGTAGAAAAACGGACGGACGGCACTGCTGCATCTGCGGGTTGTTTTTTTCTGCTCGCGCGCGCCTCCTAGCGGGCACGCACGGGCAGAAAAGACCCGATCAGTGCACACACGTTGCCGGGTGTTACACATATAGGCGATCAGCGGGTCCTTAGCCTGCCGATCGCCTATATGTGCTCGTTCGCGGCACTACACCCGGTCGGCTCTTCCGGTTTCCCCCCCCTGACCCCTCACCTTGATTCCCGGGACCCGCATGTACCCAAGCCCTAATGAGAGGGTGTACCTTGTTGTTTCTGTGCAACTATATAACTGCAAAAAACAAAGCTGGAATCAGTCATATCTGTTTATGCCATTGCAAACCGTAAAAGGAGAAGTGAAGGTGTTGTCCATAACAGTGAACTATATTCCACCTCAAGTTTCTCCACCATAAGTTTGAAAGACAAGTTCCTTCCTAATTCCTATTCTTTTCTATTCTATTGTAACAGATTTTTTAATTGATGTATTCATTGTGATTTCCAGGTGGCTGAGTGTACGCTGTGACCTCCTTAGTAATTTTATAGTGTTTACAGTGGCCCTTGTAGGAGTTTTGTTCAGGGAGAGCATTTCCCCAGGACTGGTTGGTCTTGCAGTTGTGAATTCTCTGCGGGTAAGTGTCCAGAGAGAAAATAGCCTCTAAAAAATCTTAACATAATGTATATATAGCCATTAAAACTCGTGGAAAAATGAATACATGAGTATGTTATGCAAGACTGTAGAAATTTGATCAGTGTCATCAAAAATCCTTTGCCAATGCTATTAATGAACCTAAAATGTGAATACCGTATATACTCGAGTATAAGCCGAGATTTTCAGTCCATTTTTTTGGGTGAAAAGTGCCCCCCCCTAGAGAGAGAGATTAATTAAGCAATTATATATGTATTGTCTGCACTGTATTAGCAGTATATACTCTATATAGAGTATATACTGCTAATACAGTGCAGACAATACATTTACAATTATACTAACATGAATGTATTAAATGATCTGTATGTAGCCCTGTACCCCCTTTTCCACTTGCAGAGCTAGGTTATTTTTCTTTTAAATAAATATTAATGTAATTTTATTGGTATCTATCTACCAGTAGCTTCCTCATTTCCCACCCTCGGCTTATATTCGGGTCAATACTTTTTCCCAGTTTTTGTTGCTAAAATTAGGTACCTCGGCTTATATTCGGGTCAATACTTTTTCCCAGTTTTTGTTGCTAAAATTAGGTACCTCGGCTTATATTCGGGTCAATACTTTTTCCCAGTTTTTGTTGCTAAAATTAGGTACCTCGGCTTATATTCGGGTCAATACTTTTTCCCAGTTTTTGTTGCTAAAATTAGGTACCTCGGCTTATATTCGGGTCAATACTTTTTCCCAGTTTTTGTTGCTAAAATTAGGTACCTCGGCTTATATTCGGGACGGCTTATACTCGAGTATATACGGTAAAATAAAATGACTGTAATCTAGCTTCAATTGTATAAAATGTTTACAATATCTACAGTATCCAAGACAAGCAGCTAAATACACAGTTGTAACATGGGGAAGTGTTTACATTCTATACAACTACTCTACAACTACTACTACTGTAATCCAAGCATCCTTTCTAGACAACAAAGTCAGATCCTTGACCTCCACTGCAGCACCACACTTTAGTCAGGAACAATGGATCAAAACAGACCCCTAACCTACTAAGTGAACTCTAAAGCAGCACACTGGTAACCCTGCTACATGCAGTGCTTTCACCCCGTCAGTATGTTGTATATGTGTCAGTATGTGTCAGTATATGAAGAAGAGCCTGATAAGCTCCCAGTGCTAGTCCTCCCTCTTCCATTTAGAGTGGTGCTGTGAAGGATATTACACAAAGGCAAAAATCATGTACTTACACTAGCTACAATTAAAATACATTTATAGTGGAAACAGCTGACAGCTGGCAAACAGATCAGTATACTAATTAACCACCTTCCATCTGGCCATTGTAACTAAACGGTCGGACTGTGGCTTCCTAGATGCGAGTGGATGCCCTCCCCCGCTCATGTGCACCGACCCCAGGGCCATCAATGACCGTTAACACTAAATTGATGAGCGGTAAAAGCTTTTTCCCCTTCCCGACCCATGATGGGATCATCCCGTCATGGGTTCTTAAGAGATAAAACAGACTCTGTTCATATTTGTAGAGCTTTACAGTAGAAGCGATTCTGGCAGCTCAGCTGCCACCAGATCGCTTCTACAATCTGGTAAAGTGGCTGACCCTGCCGTGTTTCCCGGGCTTCGCTGACCCTCCTGCGAACCCAGAACCGGCATCTCGGGTGTCGGCGGGAAGGTGGGGAGGAGAGCAGCGAATTTCCGTTCACCGATCTCCTCCCCGTTCTATGGGACCGGGAGCGACACATATTGCATAACTTCCGGTCCCTGAGCTGTCATTCCTAGTCTCCTGAAGCCCAGCAATAAGCTATTGAAGCTATTGCAGCTATCTGCACTTCAATAGCTTATTTAGAGTGGAAAGGTAGTACTAGGGGACTTTTGGACCCCCAGTATCGCCTTAAAAAGGACCTGTCACCACCAATATGCTATCACATGGGGGCCCGTAAGCCCCCTATGTGATAACAATTAAAGTAAAGTTAAAAAAAGGAAAACAAACTGTTTAAAAAATGTTTTCATTTAATATTTTTAAAAGTCCCCTTGCCCCCGCGACCACGCGCTTTTTCACGTAAACACACGTCGGGTACGCCTACGTATGAAAACGTCGATTGCGCTACACATATAGGGTATCGCCGCACACGCCAGTGTGAGAGCAATAATTTTAGGTCCAATATGTACACGTATCTCTAAATGACCTGTAGTTGCTTTAAAGCGTCGTCTATGGACTTTTTGGGGTACTGAAATTTGTCGCAGTTTTACGGACGCACACAAATTTTTTACCTGGGCATGTTGGGTATCTATTTACTCGTTCTAACCTCATCTTGTATAGTTTACAAAAAATAGTTTTATATAGTGTTTTGGGGCACTAAATTTAACTTAAGTGCATTTTTCACAACATTTTAGGGTTTGATAATAAGTTGCGCTAAAATCGTGCGACATATAAATTTGCAACTATGACCGTTTTATTTTACGGGGTCTTAGATTTTAAAAATTATGTTGGGGGTTTTGAGTAACTTTCAGGCTTAAAATGTGGATTACAACTTGTAAACAAAAGACAAAAAAAGGCCTGTGTTGTTAGGGGTTAAAGTGTCGCCACTAAAAGAAAATTCTATGGGGTTGATTTACTTACCTTATAAACACGCCACGAACAAGTATACACCTCTGTAGTGTGTTCCCTCCCAGCATGATCTATTGGTGGAATCTAGACACCTTTGTAGTGTGTACACACCCTGCAGGTGTGTTGTACAAAGCCTTGCATGAATTGCAAGGTGATGTTGTGTAAATTAGCTCTACATTGTGTTGCTTGTGTTGATGAATGCAGGAATGTAAATGCATGAGCTAACCATTTTTGTCTAAACTGTGAAGCAGCATTATATATGCATCATGTGCATGATTTTTCCATATATGGCATTATTGGAAATATGCTTTTAGAGACTTTTTTGTTGATAAATACGTTTTGCTGTGTAAAAATCACACGCACCTAGTGCGTGCGTGTGTTTAGGTTAGTAAATCACCCCCTATGTGTCAACAAAACTGGTATAAAGTTAATTTCGGTTCTGAATAAATGTCAGTCAAACTACTGCAGCGCTGAATACTGAAAAATGGCCTGGACAGAAAGGGGGTTTAACACACCGGTCTTCAAGTGGTTAAACACTTATGCATATCTGTAGTAATAGGTAGTTTTGCAGGTGAAACACTTACAGATGTGGACAATTTTGTTAGTATCAGAACAGAATATTAAAAAAAAACAACTAAAAATGACATGGACAAAAATGAAGAAATCCTTAGCATAGTATTTTGGTGAAGAACCTTCAGGTTCAATCATTGCAAACAAGTAAATTCTGAAGCTCTCAATGAAGGCCCGTTCACTCTAGTCCATCCACTGAAAACGCTGCGTTTCAGTGGGCGGGCTAGTGAGTTGTGACCAGGTACACTTTACAACCTTTGCAAGACTTTTGTCTTGCGAGGGTTGTAAAGTGTATGGCCACCTTGAGAGTGGTCAGTACTTTTCACTATATACAGGTGAAACTCGAAAAATTAGAATATCGTGCAAAAGTTCATTTATTTCACTAATGCAAATTAAAAGGGGAAACTAATATATGACATAGACTCATTACATGCAAAGCAAGATAGTTCAAGCCGTGATTTGTCATAATTGTGATGATTATGGCTTACAGCTCATGAAAACCCAGATCCACAATCTCAGAAAATTTTTGGCAGTGTGGGCAGGTGCCAAGTCCTGCTGGAAAATGAAGTCAGCGTCCCTATAGAGCTCGTCTGCGGAAGAAAGCATAAAGTGCTCCAAAATCTCCTGGTAGACGGCTAAGTTGCATTAGTGAAATAAATGAACTTTTGCACGATATTCTAATTTTTTGAGTTTCACCTGTAATTCCTTGACAGTCTTGCAATTTAATTGTGCCCTGCACGGACTGAAGGCGCCCCATTACACATTTAGTAAAGCAGACAAAAACATAACCAAGCCTCGGCCATGTTTCATGGTAAGTACGGTGTACTTTTCTTTAAAAGGTAAATTTTTTGCTGGTTAATATACATTTTATTGTCAAATTCCAGTCTGGCCTTTCGAAGTTTAATTTCCATAGTGGGATCTTTCTTTAACCACTTCAAGACCAGGTGTTTAGACCCCCTTCCTGGCCAGGCCATTTTTCAGTATTCAGCGCTGCGGTACTTTGGCTGACGTTTATTCCGTTATACAACGCTGTACTGAAATGAATTTTATACCATTTTTTGGGGACAGATAGAGCTTTCTTTTGGTGGTATTTAATCACCACTACGGGTTTTATTTTACTATAATTAGGAAAAATTATTGAAAATTTTGAAAAAAAAGTTTTTTTTTACATTGTTAGGAAACATTTATTATTACCCAGTTTTTTGGTAAAATATAAAAGTCGGGGTCACGTCGGGTAAATAGACACCAAACATGTCAAGCTTTAAAATTGCGCGCACCCATGACATCGCAGACATGACATCTTTTTTGCACGTATGCGCCCCCGACGCATGTTTGCATGCGTGTATGTATGGGGGGGACTACATTTTTATTTTATTTTTTTTAAATTCTTTTTTATGTGTAACTTAACTTTTTTGGGGGAGACTTTACATTTTTTTTCTTTTCACTAAACTTTATTGCTATCACATACGGGGGCTAATAAAACCCCCCTATGTGATAGCAAAATATGTGACAGGTCCTCTTTATGGAGACAGGGGTCTCCAAGACCCCTAATGTCACCTAGGACCCCCCCAAAAGAAGCTGATGAAGCACAGATCTGCTCCATCTGCTTCTTTGCAGCTTCTGAAGCTGGAGAGTGACACAAGAATGCGGAAGTGATGTAATATACAACACTTCCGCATTCTTTCAGTGTAACGAGCTCCCTCTGATTCCCTGTTACACAGGCATGGCCCTGATCCCGGGCTCGCACCGGGCACAGCGGAGCCCGGGATTAGCGGGGCAATGGCAGGGGGGACAGCGGAGGGGGCGCACTGATCATTGCAACATACAAGCGATCCGCCGTCTCTACAGCCGGCAGATCGCTTGTATGTTAACAGGCATCGCTGCCTGTTTTTAAATTTCTGCCATTTCCCGCTCGCGCGCGCCCAGCGTCGTGTGCGAGGGGGCGTGTCTGAGATACGGGGGCTAATAAAACCCCCCTATGTGATAGCAAAATATGTGACAGGTCCTCTTTATGGAGACAGGGGTCTCCAAGACCCCTAATGTCACCTAGGACCCCCCCAAAAGAAGCTGATGAAGCACAGATCTGCTCCATCTGCTTCTTTGCAGCTTCTGAAGCTGGAGAGTGACACAAGAATGCGGAAGTGATGTAATATACAACACTTCCGCATTCTTTCAGTGTAACGAGCTCCCTCTGATTCCCTGTTACACAGGCATGGCCCTGATCCCGGGCTCGCACCGGGCACAGCGGAGCCCGGGATTAGCGGGGCAATGGCAGGGGGGACAGCGGAGGGGGCGCACTGATCATTGCAACATACAAGCGATCCGCCGTCTCTACAGCCGGCAGATCGCTTGTATGTTAACAGGCATCGCTGCCTGTTTTTAAATTTCTGCCATTTCCCGCTCGCGCGCGCCCAGCGTCGTGTGCGAGGGGGCGTGTCTGAGCGGACGTCTAAAGACGCCCGCTCAGATCTAGAGAGTTCCCGTCTGTTTTTTTACTACGGCCGGCCCGGAGGCAGTTAAGTCCAATGTCACTCAAAAAGTGGCAGATGGTTCAATCAGACACTGATGCACCTTGACCTTGGAGCTCAGCTTGTATCTCTTGATTATCGCTTGAAATTTTCCTTGGCTCTTTGTCTACCATTCACTCTGTCCTTCTGTTCCATATGGGGTCGATTTTCCTCTTGCGGTCACATCCAGGGAGGTTGGCTGCACGCCCATGAACCTTAAACATCTTAATATTTGTCAGAGGGAGATCAAGTTTTATAACATTTACCTTTGACATGCTGGTTTAAAACATTCTTTCTGATCTCCTCAGACAACTCTGTCCATGTTCAGTATGTGTACACGATGATACCAAACAAAGGGCAGAATGTGGCTACATTTCTCTCTAAATTGGCTGACTGATTACATGATTGAAGACATGTAAAACTAATTACAGAATACAGTTAGTTGAAATATCACTATGATTCCATTAATTACGTTGTATTATCTTTCTAGGGGTACCAACAAATCTGCCCAGGCCATTTCAGAATACCTTTGTAGAATAGGCAATAATGTATCTCCTTTCATGCTTTTTCTTTAGTCTGTGCCATATCAAAAGCATGTAGGTATACAGGAGACAGTTGCTTTTAATTCAATCACTTTTCAGGAGTAACAAAGCATTCTTGATAATGAGTTGTAAGGGTACCAACACATTTTTCTACATCTGTATTGCTTGGTTCGGGAGTTCGGTTTACTCCACATACAGCTTGTTCACAGGACATTGTATCAGCATGATTCCCTTTGTACAATTAGCAATCCAGGAAGTAGTAAAGTGATCTTGGCTGTGAGAAGCAGAGGTGTAGAAGTCACAAATCACTAGCTGTGAGGACTTCCAAAATATTTTGCTGCCAAAAACAGATGTACTGAAAGTGTGTATTTTGCTGCTTACCTGGAGTATGACATTTGTCCATATCATGAATATATACAGTAAATGCATTATTACTTTTATTCTGGAATTCAGATTTAATTATAATTATTTATACATTTAATATTAAGCAATCTATAGTCCATTATTCTATTATTCCCCAACCCCATATGTAAAGGTTTCAGGTATTCAAACATGGAAATGTTATGACTAATAAAACATTTTTTTAATATATAGTTATCTAATGCTTTTGTAATCAAGAGTTAAAGTGACACTGAACGCAAGAGTTAAATAATAAAAATGCATTCAAGTCCCTTAACTATTAACAACACTTTCTTTGTGGATCCTTTTGGATCTTTCTCAGCTGTAGATCCTTAAAGGAGAACTATGGGGTTAGGGCTTTTCCCCATAGTTCCCCTTAGGGTAACGGGAGGACACAAACTAGCGTCCTCCCGTCACCCTAATCTCAGTATACCGCGAGCCACAGCGTGAGCAATACTGAGACGCCGCAGCTGAAGCGGATCCCGACAATTAGGTCTGGATCCGTCCAGCTGCGTGAGTGACAGCTGGCTCTGCCTATCTAGAGGCAGAGCTAGCTGTATCCGCCCCCTCTCCGTCCATTCCGCCAGTCAGCGCTGGAGGATCGGAGCAGGGAGGGGGGAATCCAGCCACTCCCCTGTCACGGCAGAGAGCTATGACAGGATCGAGAAGTGAGTGAACGCCGGTATGTGTTCGCTCACTTCCCGATCTACTGAGCCGAACTGTGACAGTCTCATTGTCACAGGTCGGCTAGAACTATGAGGTGAGTGAAAAGCACTCACCTCATAGTTCTCCTTTAAATCATCTCTGAATGTGTGCTTCCTTCTGGAGGTTGGCTACTTTTGTTCCCCATGGTCCCTGTGTGTGTGTGTTGTAAAGTAACAAATATCTATGCACTGCGCTGTACCCAAATAGCTCAAATCAAACCAACATGTGCATCATATATAACATTGACAACATCAAAATGACATGTGCATCAATTAAACAATTTAAAAGTGCAAAAGATGCTATATATTAAATGAAAACATCAAAATATTATAATAATATTTATGCAATGTCCAGCTATCGGTGAAGAAATGCTCCTTCTCCCAGATCAAAATTGTTCAACCAAGTGCATTTTAGTGTCCATCAATCACACTTTCATATTAAGTGATACCAAATCTTCCTCCTTATCTATATATCTTCACTCTACCGTGTTTCAAAACCCATGAAACCGCACTCACCAGCATTATAAGGCTACCCTAAATAGGATAAACCATAATCGCTTCTATCACCGGTGTCCCCTCTAAGTTATATTCCAATACAGCCAGATAACACTTTCTTTGTTTCTGCTTCCTCCTCTCCTCTCGAAACTTTGTAAACTCAAGCTCAAATAGAAATATAAATGCCTCTCATTGTGTAGTATTTCGCAGTTCAAAATGTATTAAGGGATTAAAAACCCTTACATAAAAGACCCTTCATTTGCATTATAAAAATCCTTCGTTCATACAAGTCACAGCATGTCAGTATCAGGAAGCGTGTGTATACTTCGCCATCCCAACACGTTTCCACACAAAGGACTTCTTCCAGGGGGTAGCGAGCGTCGGTTAAACTATTGTGTTCTCTAGTAGCCACCACTCCAAGCTTGCTCCCGTGATGGACTATAATCTCACTTTTAGTTTACTAATTTGTATTGAAATTATAGTCCATCATGGGGCGAGCTTGGAGTGGTGGGACCATGGGGAACAAAAGTAGCCACCCTCCAGAAGGAATGACAGTGTTAGCATGAATTCAGAGATGATTTGAGTGATGCACATATAACCTACATTTTTGTTAATAGTTAAGGTACTTGAATGCATTTTTAAGGTTTAACTCCGAAGTATAGTGTCACTTGAAGAAAATCAGCTTTTACTCATTAACCTGATAACAAATGTCACTTTATCTTTTAAGTTGACAGGTGTTCTAAAAGAAGCAGTGCATACTGCCACTGACATGGAAACTAACTCTGTTGCAGTAGAGCGGGTGAAGGAGTATTGTGATGTGGAGCCTGAGGTGACTATCTACTTATAATCTTTTATTTATAGTTTTAGTATAGTTTTTTTTATATACTGTACTTTTGCCTTTAAAGACTACTTAGTTGTGGTAACAACAAAGATAGAGTTTTGAAAGCTTAGTGAATCATCTAATGAAAATATTTAATTAAATTATCCTTTTAAACATTGCACCAATGAACTCTATCAACTGCAACCCAAGTTATCTGTAAGCTTTGTTTCTTTACCCCTTGCTGTTCTCATTTTGTATTATAGCGTAATTCCTCCCTTTGTTTCCAAGCAGTAACTTGTTTTTAATTAAAGAAGCGTCCAAGGTTAAGCAGTAAAAATTTTCAAGAGGGGATGCATGGCAGCCGTCATACTTTTGGTGGAACTGCTATACGTGACTTTGAAAGGACTGGAGGTTTGGCCTATGTAGGCAGACCAGGCACTGTAAGCCTTAGGAGAAACACAACATCACTATAGGATTTGACATTGATACGGGAGTTGTGTGACATCCCTACAGTTAATCACCAGTTGGAATCAAATCAACTACTCTGTCTCTAAATCTGGTTGATCTGGTGATTCCATATTATCATACAGATACCTACAGATGGTACTATAGTTTTGGTATAATTGGATAGACTGATGCATTGGGACTGTGACATCTACTATCACATCTGCAATATGGTAGATATACATACCTACTAGGTGTGACCGCGTCCTCTCTGCGTGTCTCAGGATAACATAGACACCGGCACTCCAAGTAATGAATCAATGGCGTCTGTTTATTGACGCATGAAACATAGCACAATGCATCAAAAAGCCTCTGCGTGTCTCCCCCTCACTACCTCTGTTCTCCTTACAAAGTTGACTGCGAAACATGTCGAGAAAATAACAGCTTCGACCTTTAGGTGCCTATCTAACAAATATATCCATTGTGTTTTGAACTTGAAGTGGTCTTTATATGATAAGCAATACAGGTATAGAGTTACATGTGGAGGCATCTGGAGTGGTTATAAGAGGTAGTATTTTATGGAAATAATGTGAAAACTAAATATTAATGTACTTCAAAATTGTAAACAAAAACCAACTAATTTTTAAATGTAAATATTTTACCTGGCCCCCTTAAAATGTATAATATATATATATATATATTAGGGATGAACCAATACCAGTATCCGTATCGGTGCCGATACTGGACATTTTCACATACTCATGAAAATGTTCCGATACTGGCGCTTTAAATTTTTAAACAGGAGTGGCTGCCGTGAGGTCCCACGCTTGCTGGGGACCACAGGGCAGCCTGCTGAGGATCTGCGACGGCTGTCTTTTACAGCGCCGATCCGGCTACACAACTCCTCCTTCTTCTTCCCACCGCCCGCACACAGCCATGGTGAGATCAGCACCCACCCGTACACCCCTGGTGACACCTACCCAGGCAGTCCTGGTGAGATGCTACTCACAGCCCTAGTGAGAGCCGAACTCAGGCCTGGTGAGACCCATAATGTATTGCTGAGATTAGTAGTGCTCTATAGCTGTTGCTGTTCTGCATTGCTGTATAATGTATTGCGGGATATGTAGTCCTCTATAGCTGGTGCCATTCTGCATTGCTTTATAATGTATTGCTGAGATTTGTAGTCCTCTATAGCTGTTGCCGTTCTGCATTGCTGTATAATGCATTGCAAGATTGCCCACCTACCTCCCTCCCTGATGTCACTGAAAGTCCACGGGAGGCTAGGGACGCCAGCATACTGTGCAGAAGAAGCCTGTCTGCATATCTACTGCAGTATCAACAAAGTAAATTATCAGCGGAAAGTCTTCAACCCCTAAAACATAGTCCATTTGCCATTCCAAACACTTGTTTAACCTTCCTAGAAGATCTATACGAGATGTACAAATTTATGTAGCTCTTTTCCCTATTGGTAATGTCGAGAGACACTCTATCCATTTCCTCAAAGATATAAGACTACATTGTCTGATCAGTGTTTTCTCCCAACGGTTCTTGCCCAATGAACATGGCTGCTGTAATGTATACACACAGGAAATTGACTCCTTACCCTGAGGATTATGCAAAATAAAAATGTTGTATGCCGTGTGAGATCGGGAAGGATGTTCTTGGAATACAAAATACAAAGTCTTTTATTCGTAAGGATCAGACAAATTCTCCCTTTGGGAGCTATATTGTTTTTTGATCTCTATCCAGGACATTGTTTTTGTTATGGAAATATCCCTAATGCATATATCTATAATGTTTCAATATAACCCAGGCGGGGGTGGGGAGACCAAGTTGGACATTGGGCTTATTTAAGTGTGAGTGTTCGTGTTTTGGTTTTAATCTACTTTGCATGTTTGAACAAGAGATCTGCATTATGTGTAATAACTAGGATAGAAGTGTCAGGGTTTCTTACCCTTCCTTGTCCACTTGAGCTGCAGGTTCAGCTTCTGTGCTGTGTTTCTGACACTGACTGTTGCTCCTAGGCGCCTTCTTATGACCAAACACGTAACGTCATCATTCTGCGACTACCGGCAAACTTCTGGCAACTTTCTGTCTCACAGTGATGATGTGACTCCAGTTCACTATATAATCATCAGTCTTTTTACTTGGTTTCCACCCTTGCGTTTGTTCAGACCTATCTACCAAGTGCTCTCTGCTAGTCCCTGTGCTCCGTGTATGATCCTGGCTCTGTCCTGGCTCCAGACTCTTGCTATTGTACTCATTTATCCTGCTGTCTGCATTCTTAGACCTGGCTTGGCTGACTAACTGCTTTGGCTTCTGACCTCTCGCATGGCTCTGACTACTTTTTGTATTTGTCTATTGTTTTGCTATTTTGTTTATTGTCACTTTTAATAAACTCCTTTATTTTTTTTACCTGCACTTTTAGTTTCCGTCTGGTTTCTTGGTGCATTGACAAGAAGTCTTCAAAGTTAGCTTTTAGGGCATTTTTCAATAACCGTGGAGATATTTTACCGGTACAGGTTATGCTAAACTTGAGTCTCTTTTAACCCATCTAGTTTCTGGTGGATGAATGTTGTAGTGCTACATCTTGAAAAACCTAGGAGATTTGTTATAATTTTTTAAAATAGGTAACCTGAATCCCTTTTGAGAGTTTGATCAGGCTATTATTGACCTACATTTTTCTGAGGTCCTTGATCTGCCAAACTCAAGTCAGTTCTTTAGCAGGTACAAATCTATTGTATTAAATATAGAATCCAAGACCAATTACCGAGTAACGGAAGTCCCATTCAGGAAGCCAGGTGGCGTGTAATGACTCGCGCCCTGGCTTCCTGATTAGCCGGACAGCGTGTAAAGACTCGCCACCCGGCTTCCCGATTAACAAGAAAGTCTTCTCTTACCTTAGTATGTGCAGCCTGTCACCCCGGGGCCTCTCCAGCGAGAATGAGATGATGAGGGAGCATGAAGCCAGCTTCTCGGCCAATCAGAAAGCAGGGCGTCGTGTCATTACACGGCGCCCGGCTTCCTGATTGGCCGGCCAGACGGCTCCAAAGACCGCGTTCTCGCTGGAGAGGCCCCGGGGGTGACAGGCTGCACATACTAAGGTAAGGTAACCTTACCTCACGAGGCCAGCTTCCTGATTGGCCAGCTTCCCGACCAATCAGGAAACCGGGCAGCGCATCATTACACGCTGCCCGGCTTCCTAATTGGCCGGGAAGTCGGCTCCATGCTCTTTCATCACAAGTGGCGAGAGAGCATGGAGCCGCTTCCTGATACCGGAAGTACTTCGGAGCATTTGGGCGAGTACGAGTACTCGCCCAAATACTCGGAATCGGCACCGATATCGATACTAGTATCGGTATCGGTGCATCCCTATGTATAAGTTTAACAAACAGTTAAAAAAATTACTCGATATACCAACATTTTGAAGAGCCAGACTCAGGCAATGCTAGTCCACTTTATCAAATTATATCATATGAACCAGCTCTGCGCATCTTCTCTGCTTCATTAGATCCAGAGAAGGTGCACAGAGTTGGTTCATATGATATAGTAGATTCAGGGCATATCTAATTTTGTCTGTTTGTGTAATGTCTCGATATGAAACCTGTCTGGTCTTGATGTATGACTCTGCTAATGATTGACTCTAGTAGGTTAGCTAAACTTTTCAAAAAAGTTTTGTGTTCCCATTCTACTGCTTACCCGATCACTGCTGCAGCCTGGATTTGACAGCTCTGAACCCAGTAATGCTCAGACTTGAGAGCTTCTGGGTTCATTTAGACTAGTGAAGGTAATTGGATAGGAATTTACAGATCTGTTCCCACTCTTTAGCCTGAATCCCCCTGCATCAGTTCCAGGCACACAAAGGAGTCAGGTGAGACCTGGGACCACGAGGTGAGATCAGGAGGGGAAACAGGCTCTGAAGTGTTTTTATGGGGATTTTTGATGAGCAGCTGCCAAAAACAGCCAGACAGAGCAACCATCTAAAACTCTAGGGATAGCACTGGTCTTCCTTTAGTATTAATTACTCATCTATTTGTTCCGGAAATGTGTTTATGTCTGGAATGTAATTTTGTATTCTAACAATAGAACGTTTGTTTACCTAGGCTCCATGGACATCAGAGCATGCGTCAGAATTAACATACTGGCCACATGCTGGGAAAATTGAGTTCCAAAATTATGGTCTGAGGTACAGAAAAGACTTACAAATGGCTTTACAAAATGTCACTGCTTCCATTCAGCCTGGAGAAAAGGTTGGTGTTGGTTGTTTCGGTGTGTTGTTCTTGGTGAATGCCCCCATTTTTTTAGTGTCTTGCTGTTTAAAGTCAAATATTTAAACCTTAGCATCATCCCTGTAGTACAGTCACACCAAAAATGATTAAATGTACTGACACTAGTTGCATTTAAAACACATTTAATCATTTTAATGAATACATAACAGCATTAATTTGTCTTTTTATATCTGCTTGGTGTTTATCGTTAGACCTTCAACTATTCTTACAACTTACAACAACGTGTCCTCAAAGAATTGAGCTGTGTAATTTCAAACCCATTGTATTTAATTTTTGGAGACTCTCTAATGACTGGCTTGGTACTGATGGATTGGCGCAAAGCCAATGTGGTGCCTATATTTAAAAAGGCATCAAAGTCTTTACCAAGTAATTACAGACCTGTAAGTTTAACTTCAATAGTTGGGAAGATACTTGAAAGTTTGATCAAGGATCACATGCAATTGTTTTTGCTTGAAAATAATTTCATAAGCGATAGCCAGCACGGATTCACAAAAGACAGAAGTTGTCAAACAAACCTACTTTATTTTTATGAGGAAGTGAGTAATATATTGGACAGAGGAATGGCTGTGGCTATAGTATACTTGGACTTTGCAAAAGCATTTGACACAGTTCCCCACATGCAGCTAATGTATAAGTTAAGGTCAGTAGGCATAGAGCATTCCATCTGTAATTGGGTAAAAACTGGCTTAAAGACCATATTCAGAGAGTGGTGATCAATGATTCGTACTCAAGGAAGGATTCTTCACAGTTAGAGCTGTGAAAATGTGCAATAGACTCCCCCAGGAGCTAGTTTTAGCTGGCTCAGTTAATTGTTTTAAAAACATCTGGATGTATTCCTAAATGCACAGAATATTACTGGATATTGAGTTCTATTGAGGTATTTTAGGCATCAGAGATTGTTGATCCAGGGAATATCCGATTGCCTTATGGAATCAGGAAATATTTTTTTTCCCCTGTTGGAGCAAATTGAACCATGCTTTATAGGGTTTTTTTGCCTTCCTCTGGATCAACAGGGGGTAGCTGTGGGAAGAGTGTTCTGTTTAGGCTTTGGGCTTAGGCGATGGACTTGTGTCTTTTTTTCAACCTGACTAACTATGTAACTATGAATAAAATGCCTTTAGAAGCATTGTGACAAACATTTTCCACCTGCAAAAGATTTGTTCTTAAATATACCGAAGTTTAAGACAATAATTATGCCTGTGGGTATTAGCAGGCACCTATGGTCAGTTGTTCCTGGAGGGATAGCGGACTGGCAAGATTGGGTTTCTTTGGCTATTATCTATTGTATTCTGGCAGTTGGATCATTAGGTTGACTTTCCATATCCAAGACCAGTTTTACAATGACAAACTCATACAGTGCATGCTTATATATTATCCATGCATTGACAAAGGTAAGCAATTAGCAAAGATACCCATAGAGATAAGCTGACAATCTCCCGATATGGCAGTTTTTGGCCTGGTGGGGCATTGATCTAATATCAATATGCTACCTTAGGACACCTCAGGCAGAGCCTCATCATGGGAAATAGTAGTTGAACAAGATTAGAAATCTTTTAAATTTGAAAATATATACCTTGCGCTATCTCTAACCCTGTAAATTAACCCTTTGTGCTGTGATAACAAATATATAAATGCTCTCAATACATTCTATAGAATTCACAAAAATCTATAAGAAACTATATATAAATACAATTGGTATCATATAGTATGCTTCCGCTATATAGTGTCCATATGTATAGACAAAACTTGTGAATAAACCGTGACAGTTCCTTTATAACATAATTTTCAAATAATGCATGCATGCAGGTAAGTAAAAAGTTCATAATCCACTGGGACTTTTTGTGACTTTATTGCGCTACCCCTGTCCCACCCCTGAAGACATATAGTTGCTTGACATCACTACTCATGTTTAGGGATGCACTGGCCAGTACAATTATCTGAGGGTGGTAATATTATACCTGCAAACCCAACTGCCCTTTGTTATCTATGGGCTACTACCAGCACATATGCTTCTGTCTCCTCTCATGTCTCTCAACTCATGTTAACTTGTAAATGTTTGTATGTCATGGGTAGGTTGGCATAGTTGGAAGAACTGGAGCTGGAAAGTCTTCTCTGACTTTGGGTTTATTCCGAATTCTTGAACCTGCTACTGGAACAATCCATATAGATGCAACGGACATTTTAAAACTAGGTCTTCATGAACTGAGATCTAAAATAACAATCATTCCTCAGGTAAGATACACATTAGTGTTAACCCAAACAAAAACAATTTGCTGGGGATTTGCACAGATTCAAATAAATCTGTTATAATAGGTTTTGAAATTTACCAACAGACAATCTAGAGCAGAATGCAAACTTACTTTCTTGAATTTTACATCACAGGAAGTTAATTCTGGAACCAATGGGTTTCTGCAGCTACCGTCAGGTGATATGGCAATTCAAAGCTGTAAGGACAGCACTGTATAACCACTCCCACTCCCAGCTTGCCTCATTTTCTTGCTAGTGTCCTTAGGTGATGATGGATGCCTTCTTTCAGCTCTGAGAAAAGCATATCCATTCCTCCACTTTTTCTAAATCAAGATTCTTCTTGCAAGTTTCCCTGTGATGCTCACAGCCACTGCAGCACTTCATCAGCTATCCGAAGCAGTTTTCTCTTTGGGAGACATTACCCCAGACCCTACTGGAGGGAAGATTTGGGGCCAGCCTGTAATGTGCTCAGAGCACTGGATCCTGTGTGGGGCACTCACCTTAGTGCAACATGTGGAGTAGCTGCAGGTTACTATACAAGTCCAGGGCTGTGATCCATCTGCCGATGGAGCCCTGTTCCTGAAGACCGCTTAAGGGTATGGCCATCAAGAAGGTGAGCATCGAATGAGATATGTCCCTTTAACTGGCGGTTGAAACACACTGGGTGAGACTGCAAGTTGGGTAGCAAAAGCCAAAGGCTTTTGTCCAAGCCGGGTTCCCAGTGCTTTTAGCTCTGGTCCCCCAGAGTTCAATATAAGGCATTGTTGAGACTTGGGACAACTGGGTCTTTAAATATGGTGCAATTTTTCTGTCTTCCTTGCTGCCTTGGGACCGCTTCTGTGTCTTCGCAGCGTCCCTCTCCTTGCACACACTCTGAGCTGTCCAAACTCTTCTGCCGCTGCTGCTGTGACTCTGCAGAGATATAGCACAGGGAGGAAAGCACTGCACATTCTATTCACTGGGTCACTATTGTTCAAGTGTCTTGACACAGGGCACCCTTCAACCTCTGCAGTTTGTGAGTACATTTGGGGTTTACCCTCAGCACATGGTGGATCATAGGCATGGGGATGTATGGGGTGCAGGCTCTATAATTACACAGCTCCTTTTCCTGGTCGCTATGTGCCTCAGGGACCTCCTTTGAACACCCAAGGCCTCCCTCCTCTGCATTACTGTCTAGAGAGGAGTTTGCTATACTAATGGCTGAATATATGGGGAATACGTCTGACCTCTTTGAGATCAGACTGCAGGGGTAGTAAGCAGGCCCCCTTCCCTTAAGTGTCTCTCTTTGACCAGTTAGCGTTTGCACTCTTGGAGGAAAAGAACAAGAAGAGGCTGCTTCCAGTTTTGTGGACTCAACCCAGGAAGAGCTGACCTGTCTCTTGAAATATCTTCTAGGGTTAAGGACACTATTTCTTGTTCACTTTACATTTACTTTTTCCAGTTAGAGCTACCTGCGTCAGCCCTACCAACCTGCCTTTGCCACAATTGTCATCAGACCTTATCATATCAGACTTATTTAAGTGCAGGACTCGGAACCCTGGGTCCATCTTGATGGACCATGCTGTTCTCAAACGGCTAGAGTTTTTCCCTGTGGCCCTGCGCTATTGCGTTGATGACAAGACGGATACCCATGCCAAAACTTCAGGATAAGTCTTCTGTCTTATCTCTGCTGGTCATTGGATCTTCCTGCAAGAAGTGCTTAGAGTGCATTCCCTTTGCTGGGGAATGCCTTTTTTTTCTTCAAATCCTTGGATACCCACAACAGTGAAGTTATGGGGACAATAATGCCTTCTTTTCTCATAATTAGAAGACAAAACCTCTCATAGCAAAATCCTCTGCCCCCTCCTTTAACAAAAGTTCCTTTCGTCCATTCTAGGCCTCAGGTAGCAAACCCAAGAAAGGCATATAGTTTAATCGTAAGTACTGGCTTTCCAACAATGCAAAATCCCAGAACAAGTCCTCTTCACAATGAAAGGGTGCCCCCACTTTTAAAAGAGGGGAAACATCTGTCAACCTTCTGGGTTACTGCTAATGCCTGGGTTTAGAGTTTTGTTCCCTGTCTCCTTTTCTTGCTGTTGTCAAACTTGCCAAGATCTTCTGAACGATGGATGGATCTTTTCACTGCCCTTGATTAGCTCCTTTCTCAGAGAGTCATAGCCCCTTTTCCAGAAGCAGAAATATTTCAGGGGTTCTATTCTAACCTGTTCAAAGCAAGGGGGGGAGATTCATCCTATACTTTTACAGATTCGCAACAGGTTTCTCCGGGCTCAAAATATCCATATGGAATCTACCTGGTCAGTTAGAACCTTATTTTTCTTGCTTGCAGCAATCCCTGTGTTTTGCTGGGGAGTATGGAACCCTACCAATTTGTTGCCCTTACTTTAGGCCTTTCCACTGCACCTCGGGTTTTCATCAAGGTGCTGGCTCTCGAGGGATCTCCATAGTGAGGTACTTGGATGACCTTCTTCCCACAGAGTAGTTGGAGCAAGCCTTATTTTCCAACTTTTGTAGGACAAAAAAATCCTGCAGAGCTTTGGATGTGTCTTGCATTTCCAAGACCGGAAACCATCTCATCACTTGGGATACCTGGTCCTAGTCTTGGACACAGCCCTGTCCAGGGTCTTTCTTCCCCATAATAGATCCAATCACTCCACTATGCTCGGATGTTGTGGTCCAGGAGTCGCCCAACCACTCGCTTTTGTATAAAGCTTTAATGGCCTGATGGTAGCCTCCTTTGAGGCAGTCCCATGTGCTCGAAGACCAGGGATACCTGGGGATCGCAATGGATGCCTTGGTGACTCTGTGGGAAGTTTAGCTTAATCTATGCCTTTCTTCCTCTTGAAATCTTTCACAGGATAAAGACAAAGGGCATTCCGGTGATCCTAATTGCTCCCAACTGGTCCAGTAGTCTGTGGTATGTTGATGTGGACAGAGACCTTTCAGATGCTGTTATCCCTATGCTCCTGAAAGCTAGGAAATTGACCTGCCATGAGGTCTGCCATTGCTCCTGGAAGGCTTATTTTGCTTGGCGCCAAGTAAGGGAGATCCATGAGTACTTTGTACTATCTTATCTTTCCTCCTGTCTGTCGTAGAACAATGTTTAGCCTTTAGTACGATAAAAGGTCAGATTTCTGCTTTGGTGATTCTCTTCTAGAGGTCAGTTGTCTCTCATTCTCTAGTGAAGGCCTTTGTGCAGGAGGTCACTCATGTTGTCCCCCCTGTATGCAGGCTGGTGACTCCTTGGGACCTCAACTTGGTTCTGTCGGCTTTTCAGAAGCTGCCGCTTGAGCCTCTCAGAGATATTCCTCTGACACTGCTCACTTGCAAGGTTGCCTTCATGGTTGCCAACATTTCTGCTAGTCATGTTTCTGAGTTTATAGCCTTGACTTAGAGTCTTTTTCTGATCATCCACAAGGATAAGGTAGTGCCCAGGTCTAAGGCCTTGTGTCCTGCACCAAAATACCCTAAAGAGTTTTCTCTCTACTGGTTTGGGCTGTGTGAGTTTAATTCTCTGCTACAGCTACCATTACATTGACTCCCTCTATCATCCTCAAAGGGCTCTGCATGGGGCAACCAACTTCTTGCTCCGCGATTGCTAGGTGGATTCTATTCCTTCGGCCTATGAACTAAATGTCCCCCGTGTCTGGTCAAGACACACTCTTCTGGAAGCGTTTGTGCTTTTTGGACTTTTCAGCATCAGGCTATGGTATCCCAAGTCTTTAAGAATGCCACATGGTGCTCAGTTCACGCTTTTGCGAAGTTCTACCAGTTGAACATTTAGGCCTCAGGGGATGCCAATTTCAGGTGGCCCTCTGAATTGTGAGCCCCTTCTTTTATGGTCTCCTTCTGGAGCATGTTTGTGTATTTAATGGGCCTTTTAGCTATTTAGCCTTTTAGTTGTTGTGCTGCTTGCTCGTATGTAGGACTGCTTTTGAATGTCCCATTGGTTCCAGAATTAACAGGACACACAACAGGACGCACATTACAGGACACACAACCATCCCTTCTGGTTTCTGTGATCCATTCTTGTACTACAAAACTGGAAGTGGGAGGTGTTATACATGGCTCTCCTTACAGCTTTGATTCGCCAGTGTCCAATCACCTAAGCGTAGCTGCATAACCCTTTGGTTCCAAAATAACTTTTTACTGTGATGTACACAAGAAATGGATTTTTACAGGTAAGGCAAAAATCCTGTTTTATGTTCTGCCTCCACCCATGCCCTCCTCTGCTACATAGTGCAGAACAGCCATTTATCTTTTGAGCCAGAGGTTAGGGGGTTCCTAGGGCATTTGGGAAAATGGATAAAAGTACATGCAGATACCTTTGAGTGTCTGCTATTAATTCTTGTAAACGCCACGTTTAATTTACCCAACATTTTTATTATTCTGTACAGGACCCAGTCTTATTTTTTGGATCATTGAGAATGAATCTGGATCCTTTTGATAGTTACCCTGATGATGATGTTTGGACAGCTTTGGAACTGGCCCACTTGAAAAGTTTTGTTTCAGACTTACCTGATGGGCTAGATCACATTTGTACTGAAGGAGGAGAAAATCTAAGGTATATGTGATTAAAATTAGTCTGTCTTGTACATACAACAGGATAAAAATAAATTGTCATAAACATGCATAGGCACCGGCTGCACCAGTTCTATAGTTTTCTAAGTTTTTTTTCTTGCCTGCCTTGAGCTATAAGATCTAGGCCAGGGATAGGCAAACTCTGGCCCTCCGGCTGTGGTGAAACTACAAATCCCATCATGCATCACCCTCTGGGAGTCATGTTTGTGGCAGAGTCTTACAATGCCTCATGGGATTTGTAGTTGCACCACAGCTGAAGGGCTGGAGTTTGCCTACCCCTGATCTAGGCTTTAGGTGTACAGTAAATGGATTTAGACCACAACTAGGATCACAGAACCTCATTTGAAGTGCCAGATGTTGGATGTGCAGTAGCAGCACAACCGAGTCTAATTATTCCACAGCTGAGCAATCCCCAACACTCCTCTGTGAGACTAGGCAGTTTCTCAATAGAGAAAGGGGAATGACAGTCATTGCAGCTAACAACATAGGTACATTGTACTATACTCTTGGATAGTTTTGAGAGTGGAGTGTAAATGTGCCCATACACTGCACGATTCTCGTACGAAAATCGCGGGAAATCCCGCGATCGTACGAGAATCGTGCAGTGTGAATGAAGACGTGCGACCGTTTCTACTGTACAGTCGCACGTCTTTTGTCTAAGGAGCAAGCTAGAAAACCAGCCGAAAATCTTATGATTTTCGGCTGGTTTGAATGATGCTCGGGAGACAAATGCCGAACGGGCCGGTGTGCGCCCGCGCACACTGCCCGTTCAGCATTGCGGTCATCGCAAGCGCGCCCCTCAGGGGGGCGGGCTTGCGATGATTGCAAGTACGATCTGCCTGTCCAAGATGGGCAGATCCTACGTTTTTTAAATTACTTTACAACCATCGCAAGACTAAGGTGATGCTTGCAAAGTGTATGGGCACCGTTAGTGAGTCATCTGTTAAGGATGGAGAATCACAGCAAATCGAGGCGGATGTACCTGCACGTCAAGCAAGTGACAATGTTAGAAAGGTGATTAATCTTGCCCATCTACTACAGCAGTATACAATTCCTTCCTTCCTGGCTTCCTTCTATCTCTTGACATTTAAAAGGCACTTTAATCCGTATGCTGGAACTACTTGAAATACATATTATAGGGATGGGGCTTTATAGAGTCTATTTTATCGTGGGTCTCAGCCTTGTACTCAGCTACACTTCAGCTACTATCCAATACGCTCGTTACCCTTCCCAGCTTTTTTCTTTATATATACATATGCAGACGTGGACACATTTGTTGGTACCCCTACAGCTTATTGAAACAATGCTAAATTTCAAAAGTGAAGAAATTAAAAGCAATTGTCTCACATATACCTGCATGCCTTTGGTATGTCATAGAATAAAGCAAACAAAGTGTAAAAAGAGATACATGTTTGCTCATTCTACAAAGATATTCTAAAATGGAGTTGTTGGACTCCATTTTGGAAGCCTAGAAAAGATAATAAATAATAGGATCGTAGTGATATTTCAAACCAACTGTTTCTGTAATTAGTATCACACATCTTCAAATCTGTAATCAGTGAGTCAGCCTTTGTAACCCTTTCACTGCCACGGACGTATTTCATACGTCGGTGGCAGCGGGCCCCTTTAAACATTCTATAGCCGCCAGGACTCTGTTTACATTTGTAAAGCTGACTGTTGGCTCTACAGTAGGAGCGATTCTGGGGGCCAGATCACTTCCAGGGGCCGGTGAGGTGCCTTGCTTCCCGGGCTCCGCTACCCCTTGGGACGCCGGGGAGGAGACTGGCGAACGTCTGCTCGCAGATCTCCTCCCTGCTGTAAGGAACCAGATGTGGTGCTGCTTGCATCACTTCCGGTCCCTTAGCTTTCATTACTTGGCAGCAGAAGCCAGGTGATAAGCTATTGCAGCGGAGAGGTCACACTAGGGTTCTTTTAGAGTACCTCTCATCTCCAATGTGCTATCACATAGGAGTGCTTGTAAGTAAAGTAACGTAAAGTGAAAACACGGCCGGCTCCGCCCAGTTGTTATTGTTTAATGACAGTTCAACATCCCCAGGTCATTTGAGGACGCTGATCTGTCATTACAACTGGGCGGAGCCAGCTGTGAGATCACGGCTCGCTCTGCTCAGCTTTCATTTTCGGGGCGAAAGGCCGGCCTTCGGCAGTCCGTTCGCTCCACTTCGGCTGACACTTGGCTCAGTGTCAGCCTTCGGCTGCTGTAGGGCTATTGTGAATACTGAACCGAAGGGCTCTGACAGCCGAAGAGAGCTGAAGGATCAGCCAAAGCTCTGGCTGGATCCTTCAGCTCCTTTGTGAATAGCTCCCATAGATTGCAAGGTCTCAGTGTCCCAAATATAGATAAATATTATAAAGCTATACAGATCTTACAACTCTTTCTCTTAGATTCTACAAGTGACAACCCCTCTAGGTCTTCCTGGAATTCCTAAACTGTGACAAAATTCCAGTGCTGGAATTTGGCTATAATTTTCAGCATAACTTCCTTCTTTAAGCCCCCTGAGGTTTCACAGCTGAGGGTTTGGGATTCAATCCATTACTCTAGTAATCTAATGTCCCCCTTTTTTAACAGGATTATAGACTGCTAACAACCCACTTTTTTCACTGGGATTGGAAAATCTCATGTTTTTAACATGGTGGGCAACTTCTGGCCTCTCTCACATTCATCACTTTTTCACACCATGCCATTTGCCTAAACGGTTGACCCAGCAAGAACACCATAAAGCCCCTCAAACAGAATACTACAGATATCTCCAAATTAGACTGAGTGTCTCAGAATTTCCTTACATGAAATCAGTCTTTAAACATTTTTGCCTTTATTCGCCAGGGTCTTCCAGACTTACATCTAGACTCACATCTCTCCTATATTTTACTCTGAACATTTGCCTTGCTCGCTCCCCTTTTTCTTATGTCAAGTGGGGCTACCCCTGCACTGCAAGGATTAAGTGCTCATTTTCATCTAGGGACAAAATTAAAAAAGTTATACTCACCTGAACCTCAGAGCCGACTGGCTGTTTATTACTCCGGTCCCTGCTGCCTGTCTCCTCCTCCACTCTAGCGATGGAATGTCCCTCTGTGCCCTCACGTCCGAAACACTGTATAGGACATGATGGTTTGCAGGACCTTAGACCGCTGGAGTGGAGGGGAAGTGAGGTGGGAGGGACTGTTCCAACAGCCAGCTGGTTGCAAGGTTCAGGCGGGTATAACTTTTGTATTTTTATCCCTAGATGAAAACAAGCACTTAACCCTAGCAGTGCGGGGGTAGCCACTTATAGCAATCATACTAATTCTGGTGATTCTTCTACTTCCATCAATTAAAATCTGGCAAGGGTTTTAACATCCCCCTATTCTATTAAAAAAAAAAAAAAAAGCTTTGGCTTTACATACAATTTAACTATTGCACTGCTAACAGCTCACTCTCAGGACAGTATACTCTACATACCGGGCTTTTCCTAGCTTTGTGAATTATCTGCCTCAATATTGATTTTTTTTTTGCAGTCAAGGCCCCCTATTGACCCATTGTTGCTTGTTATATTTAAATTGTACCTCTGAGGTTAGAGTATCTAAAGTAACAATACTGCCAAAGAGCAGGAACCTTAATGTACAGCTGATAATTACACAGAGTCTCAACTTATACCCAACTTAGAGTTAGGTCCCTGTAACCTTCCAAAGCTATGTCCAACCCTATTCTAGCTCCAGGAGGATATAGGCATAGCTGCAAGTTGGGCAGAAGGCAAAGCTTATAATAAATGCAATCTTGGATCCAGGGCTTCCTGGGTGCATGAAATATACTGTATGTTACCTGTGGCAGTTTTATCTCTAGCTTATACCTTACATATTTTGAGAATGTAGTAAAATTTCTTTGTGTATTGTGTTCAGTCTTGGCCAGCGTCAGTTGGTTTGCCTGGCACGAGCCCTTCTTCGAAAAACCAAAATCCTGGTTCTTGATGAAGCCACAGCAGCTGTGGACCTGGAGACCGATGACCTTATCCAGTCAACTATTAGAAAAGAATTTGAAGATTGTACAGTGATCACCATCGCTCATCGACTTAATACCGTAATGGATTACACACGGCAAGTGGTTTAAAAAGATGTACTGTAGAACTGTAGATGTTACTTTAAAATTACTTAGTAACACAATGTGGTACAACAATGTACATATTTTTATGTGCTATATGTCTGTATAGCTGTTGTAGACACTTATCCCACCTGACCTAACAGAGTCCTTAAACTGGTATTTCCCCAAATTACTGTTTTAACACATTTTAGGTGTGTTGACCTCATTTTGCCATTCAAGTTAACTGAAATAAAATGCAGCTCCACACATGAAAAGCTTGGATGAATATAAAGGTGCCCATACACTGCACGATTCACGTACGAGAATCGCGGGAAATCCCGCGATCGTACGAGAATCGTGCATTGTATGGAAGGCATGCGACCGTTTCTAATGTACGGTCGCATGACTTTTCTATATCGAGCATGTAGGAAAACCAGCCGAGAATCGTACGATTTTCGGCTGGTTTTTAACATGATCGAGAGATCACTGCCGAACGGGCCAGTGTGCGCATATGTTACATGCGCACACTTTTATATGTTACAGTCCATCTGAGTAAGTGTGATCTAGACAAAGTCGAGAAGGAAGAACATATCCAGCACGATTTGTAAATCCTAAGGTAAAATGAAGTGACTTTCCTGAAGAGTAAATTCTTGCGCAAAGCTGGCGTATCAATAAATTAGCTGCCCATTTTCTCTCAGAGGATGCAGATAGAGTGTGACACCCAAGTACATATTGCTTGCCTGAAGAAAGTCCAATATATCTGTCATAACAAGGGGAAGAGAGTCAAAACTCTTTGAGCTTGAGAAGTCTATGAATTTATTATTCCACAGTGTAAAATATGTGACATTTAGTAGGTGCTCTAGCATACAAACAAACACTCTATGACTGAAGATAAGTAATCCAGGCAAGGCAGATTTACTTCCAGCCTCCGCTTAGGGTAATTTAGGATGTGTTTGGATGTAGCATTTAGACTTAGAGACTTGATCTGCCTCAAACTAACACAGCTGCCTACTTGGAAATTCTTTGTGTTTCTTTGAAAACTTGGAGTTTCTTTTTACTTGGAGTTTCTTTGAAAATGTCATCTGTTGTGTTGGCATTGCTTGGCTTTCCCTGTTGGGGAACCCTGTTAAATTTGATTAGAGCCTAACTTAGGATGTTCCTGTGGACTGCCAGAGTATGAGCATGCTGAACTATCAGCAGGATGTTGCCGCAAATAGTGGAATACTTGAAGCCTTGTTCACTGAAGAAGGCAGTAACTGGATGTAATATTTGCAAAATGACCTAGGACTGTGGCGACGTCAAAGAGCAGATAAACTGAAAGGGGAACTTTAGAATGGCAAGCAAGACATTTGAGAAAGTACAGGTGTACAGGAACGTAAAATACACCTTTGCCAGGCACAACATCCTATAACCTGTTGATGGCTTAAGTGATTGAATACAGAGATTCCATAAGCAAGATCTTAATCCTGATCCCTCTGTTCCAAGCATTCAAAACCAAGACTAGTCTTAATTCTCCTGGTTTTCACACTAAGAAAAAATAGAGGATAAAAAGCTTGACATTTCTGGACTGGAAAGATTACGAGACACCATTTGGACATGTGTACATAGATCCTAGAGCTTTGCTTACACCAAGGAATTCTGATGGAAATGAAACGGACTGCAAGATGAGAAAACCTGACAGTGTCCATCTTGAATTCTTACTGTGACCCATGGATCCTGAACAGTATATGCTCAAACTTGAGCAAGCTCCCACAAGCTAGGGCCGACTGGTCAATTGTGTACTAATGTACTCGTATGTCCTTTGAGCTGTAGATGGCACTGTAGTGCAAAGCTAGTCTCTGTGTGCATGCTTATCTATGAAACACCAGAAGTTCTTTTCCTTTCTGTTCCAAATGCCAGATATAAGTAAAGTAAAACTCAATTCAGCATTCCTCAAGATCTCAGTGCTTTATCTAAAATATAACCAACAAGAGGAACCCTCAAAAGGACTTTTGTTTCTCTTGCGAGGGAAATATCTTGGTTTGTTGAAATCCATGCATGTGCACTCTGAGAAGCAGCAGTGGCAAAGGGCTGGAGAGATTTACATCTATTAACCCCTGCATCTGCACTCTGCAGAACAGTGCTGACAATAGAGCTGAAAATATTTAAATTTAATTGAGTCATTGCATGTGCATTTTTTTATATATACCTACCTGACCCTCACCTTGTAGAATGTAGGTGGTCTCTTGGGGGAAGGGGGTTAATGCCATCTGGGAATTGAACACATGATCCACCCTTTGCAGTCACAGTGATGCGATTAAATAGTACCTGTAAGAACCAGCTGGACACTAACAATGCTGTATACATGGTAGCCACATACTCACCTATGGGGCAATGAAGGGTTATAGCACAACAGGACCTGTCAGAACCTGCTAGACAATAGCCACAATGCTGTGTACATGGGGCAATTAATTGATTACAGTATAACAGGCAGAATAAACCTGCAAATGAAGCAACAACTCCATTAAATATTAACAGCGCTGAGGAACCACAGGTGTCAGCAACAACCCAGATAGCAAGGATAACTTGGCACAAACTTGTGACAGGGTTAAATTGTAATTCTTGTCAACTTGCTGCACACATTCCTGGCAAGTTGTAGATTTGCAGATCACTTGCAGTTCAAGTTCTAGTTGACACTTTTTAAATTTGTAGCAAATTTGCTTGGCAAGTCTACAGCAAGAGTCCTGCAGGTCTTAACAAGAGCTCTGCAAGTGTACAGCACTTTTGCAAAGCACGTTGATCTGGAGACTTGCAATGCAGACTTGCTGTAATTGTGCAACAAAATTGTGAAGCTTGGCAAGTCTGCAATAGTTTTGCAAGTCATTTTCAAACTTGCAGCTCAATTGCTTGCTATCTGGGAATACTCACATGAAAGGCACCCAAAGAGTTAAGGCACAAGATTGCTTGCGCACACCGGCCCGTCCGACTTTTATCTTACGAACATGCTACACACTCGCCGAACATCGAACGATGCTCGGCGGGTTTTCGAACATGTTTGTAAGTTAAGAGTCGTGCGACCTTACAGTAGTAGAGGTCGCACGGCTTCCACACACCTTACGATAATCGTACGATCGCGGGATTTCCCGCGATTATTGTAAGGTGTGTGGGCACCCTAAAGCTGTAGTAGCAGAGCTACAAGTGGTAGCAGCCTGCACTCAGCAAGCACCTGCCACAAGCAAACTAATGGATTTTTAGGGGAAAACCTGCGAGCTTCAACTAAGGCATTAGCAGCACCCCAGAATAACATACTTCCTTGCAATAAACCTGTAAGGTTTAAGCACACATGGAAAACTAAATAGATCTACAGGCATAATAAACAGATAATCAAAGAAGATTCAGCCAAAGCAAAGCAGGACTGCAAATCCATAGGAAATAGTAGCACATTCACTACTTAAACTAATTGAAAGAAAATGGAGTGGATCCTACTTGTCATCTTGTCCATGCATGTGATTATTCCAGTACAACCATAGTTTCTGATGATGCAGCTGAGTCATGGTGTCTTCAGAGTTAGAAGACCAGGATGCCAAGCAGGTGTCTTCAACATGCCACCATGATGGAGAAGCATCTGAATATCAAAGGACCCCAAGAGACCATTTCTTGTACCCCAAACTCTGAAGATATGGGGGGAGGCTTTCCTTATAAAATAGCATTTAGCCACCTGAACAAAGGGAACTTCGCAACAAGGAGAGGCTGAACCTGTGCGGCAGGCCAGAAGCAAGGTGAAGGTAAAAATCAACCGGCTTAAGCAGTGAGGACAGAAAAAAGGATGGTGGCCTTGGGAGACGTGCTTTAATTTATAGTATAATTGGTCCTGTGTTTGGGTGAAGGGCGGAGCTGAACCCATTCTTATGCTGCCATGTTGGTGTCAGGAAATATATTTATTATATGCTTTAATATGAAAAATGTTTAAGACCTTAAAAAAAAAAGAATGCAGAATTAACATTATTTTGAATTATGGAAGCTCCAGTAATATGAAAGCCCCCTTTTTAACCCCTATTTAATTTTGTTTTATATTTTTACAGGATAATTGTTTTTGACAAAGGTGAAATTGTCGAATTTGACACACCTACAAAACTACTGCAAAATAAGGGAGTATTCTATTCCATGGCAAAAGATGCAAATGTTATTTAACTGCTTCAGAAACTGAATTGAGAGTTACTGACCAGTAGGACTCAGGGAGTATGCAAAGAACTGCACAAGAGAAATCAACAGAAAGAGTGTTTTATTGCAAATAACCTATTGTTGTTTTTTAAAAAGTAAATTTTTATGTAAATGTAACATCTGTTACATGTCGAACAATGCATATGATCTATTTCAATGTTTTTTGTATTATTTTTTTTGTATTTTTGTTATTTAAAATAGATCTGTACTTTTAAAACATATTCACCTTTTATAGCCAGGGATGCCTATCAACATTGAAGATATGAACACTTACCTCATCCCTTTCTTTCCCTGTGCTTTACCAACTGTCATGTTCTATTTGCATTTGATTTGTTTACATCTGGACTGCAACTGCTGAGCACACTGAGAACATGAAGTCACCTGCTTTACTTAACTTTTGACTTAGGGCTTGTTCACACCACAATCTGCACGTTCTAAATGCGTTTCTGGTCCATTTTTTTATTTGGTGTATATTGTGTTTAAGCACATTCTGGTGCTTTTACATGCATTGACATGTGTTCCAGTGTGAAAAAAGCATGCTGCTGTACTTTTTTTTAAAGCTTTGGAACTGAACATAATGGTGTGAATGGTATGCATTTTTGGTGCTGATAAAAAAAACGCATCGGACTGGCGATGGTGTGAACAAGCCATAAGTAAGCTAACGATATTTACTGCAGGTGAATCCTCCTGGTGCATGTATTTTAAATTACAAGAATAATTAATGACCTGTGAATTTTTGGTAAATGTCACACTGGCCCCTTAGATTTGTTATATAGCATGTTAGGTCTGGTATTACCTGTTACACTTCTAAACAGGCTATGGCCTGTTTAGAAGTGTAACAGATTGAGTGATCACTTTACGACTCTCCTAAATATTTGAATCACAAAGTTTAGAAAACCGATGCTAGTTTAGAAAACCGATACATGATGCTATGCAGAATAGACATATCTGCAGGCCTATATTGAGCAAAATCAAAAACTGTGCTATCCACCAATTTTCCTTGTTTTCAAAGTAAAATAATGTGTGTGTCTGTGTGTGTGTGTATATTGTAGCAGAGCATCCCAGAGGGAGCCTGGGAAAGTCCTGTCCGGAGTTTATAGGTCTCTCAGGTTCCTCTCCTATACATTTAGGAATTGCTGATCCAGGCTCCAGTGCAGGGTTTACTCCTCTCCCCACTGGCAATGTAAGCTTACCTGGAACCTGTACTCAGAGCTCTCTGCCTGGGGATCAGACAAGTCCTGTCTGAGAGAGCTGCAAGGTATAGTGGAAAAACTAGCTTACAGTTTATGTGGAGTCTGACAAGCGGTTAGGCCCGCTCAGACTGTTAGTTAGGACCTATATCTCTTGTGTGTGCAGTTAGTACTGGGATACGGCTAGGCTTTATTTTTGTTGATTTCATGTGAACCCCTGTACAGCACCTGTGAATGCTCTTCAATATCACTAATAAACACTGCACCGCTTGCCACTACTCCCCTGGATTTGGTATCTGTGCCCAAGAGACTGCTTATCCCAGGGGGCTTATGTGCCAACTACCGATCGCCTGCTCACAAATATATATATATATAATTAGAATGTATATATAAACATTGTGATGTTTGGGGAATATAGCCCAATGGTGAGCGCTTAAGGACCAGTCTTGAAGCCAACTTGAACATAAACAGGACAGTCTTTATTCCTCTTCTATATAAATGAAACAGAACAGTTCATGTGCTTCTTATAATAATCTGCTTTTCCTCAGCATATACAGTTTTTAGCACACCTCTGTGTGATACTCACACTGCTCACCCCTCGTGAGCACTCTCACTGCTCTCTCAGTAGTGTGTCCACCAGGTCTCTTGGGTCACCGACCTTCCCCAGCCACGCCTGGCTGTTCCACATACGTCCAGCAAGCACCCGAGTCTGTTGTGACCGTGTGCCTCCTCCACACACCACTGGCTTGGCTTGACCCTCGTTTGCCTCCAGCACACACCACCAACCCTCCCCTGGGCTGGGCTCTTAATGAGGCTGCTCTCAGCCACCTGACCACTGGCAACACTTGACCTCAGGACTGGAGATTTCATCCCACCCAGAACACTAAGAAATTTCCAGAGCTCCAGATCCCAGTTACAATGCAGAAAAAACGGAAGAAACCGAAAGGCCAGCTTCTTCCCTGCAAATCTTTTCATTTTCTGGAACCTCTCAGCCCCTCTGGCTAAGAGTCCTGGGTGACTGTGTTGCCAGCATGCTCCGGGGTATTGCCGTGCACTGCCACAATATATATATTAGACATGTAACCCCACAATAAAATTGGTTTAAGCTCATATTGGATCAATTCCGATTTTTATCTTTTATTTTTCGGATCCGAAATTTGATTCGGTCCCTTATTCAGCTTTCGTATCCGTCTGAATTTACGTTTGGAAAGATTCACAACGGGAAGTCACTTGACCGTGCCTGTAATGCAAACCCCAACAGCCCAAAAAAACATCTGATTGGCCAGAGAACAGTCACATGTCCGATTTAGTTTTGTTTTGACCAAAATTCAGACGGATACAAATTTTCCTTTTTCCTTAAAGGAACATTCAGATTCGATTGAATATGGATGCGTTCGAATTTGGAAATTCAGAAGCATCCGAATGTCGAAATTTAACAAAATTCGGATGAATTTGCATATTATATCCAACTATAACTAATAATCTCTCTTTACATCAACATTTTTACAAATCTCATAAACTGAGAAAATAATACCATTTAAAGAAAAAAATAAGGTTATTTAGAAATTGATGGCAGCAACACGTCTCAAAAATGTTAGGACAGGACAACAAAAAGCTGGCAAAGTAAGTGGTACTAACAAGTTGGAGCTGGAAGAACTTTTTGCGACTAATTAGGGTGATTGCCAACAGGTCAGTAACACGATTGGGTATAAAAGGAGCATCTTAGAGAGTCAGAGTGTCTCAGAAGTAAAGATGGGCAGAGGTTCACCAATCTGTGAAAAGCTGTGCGTAAAAATTGCCGAACAATTTCAGAATAATGTTCTTCAGCATAAAATTGCATAGACTTTTTAAATAGATCATAATCTACAGTCCATAATATCATCAAAAGATTCAGAGAATCTGGAGAAATCTCTGCTGAAATGCAATATTGAATGCCCTTGATCTTCGGGTCCGCAGATGGCACTGCATTAAAAACAGGCATGATTCTGTGATGGATATCACTACATGGACTCGGGAATACTTCCAAAAATCACTATCTGTGAACACAGTTTGCTGTGCCATCCAAAAATGCAAGTTAAAGCTCTATCATGCAAAGAAGAAGCCATATCTGAACATGATCCAGAAACGCCACTGTCTTCTCTGGGCAAAAGCTAATTTTAAATGGTCTGTTGCAAAGTGGAAAACATTTCTGTGGCCAGATGAATCGAAATTACACATTCTTTATGGTAAACATGGGCGCCGCATCATCTTCCGGACTAAAGAGGAGAGGGACCTTCTGGCTTGTTATCAGCACTCATGGTATGGGGGTGCGTCAGTGTGTATGGAATGGGCAGCTTGCACATCTGGAAAGGCACTATCAATGCTGAAAGACATATCCAGGTTTTAGAGCAGCTATCATGTTCCTGAATGAGACCTAACTGAGAAGGGGGCTAGACGTGCACCTCTTGTCCCACACCTCTGGAGGTGGTTACAGGTGATATAAGGACGGGGAGAGGCACAGGCGCTGGTACTGCTGGCTGACTGGGTTTCATAGAGGTGCTTGAGTGTGTTGGACCAACTGGTGATTCTGCAGGACCAGGATGACAATGGGATCTCTCAGGACATGATCAGATAACATGTGTGGATCCAGAGAAGCACTGGCTGGATGAGGTAGCTCAGAATACTGGTGGGACGAGCAAAATCTTGAACAGCTGAGTGGCAGATCAGGAGCATGGTGAGAAATTGTAAGCCAGGATTATACACAGGAGAGCAGAGAATCGAGGTACTAAATCACAAGAAGGTGGAGTCAATGGTCACAAGCCAAGCTCAAACACAAGACATCAGGAACGCAGGAACAGAACGCAGGGCACACAGGGACAAGCTGACGATCACTCAGCAACTTGATCATGGCTTCCGTCTATTTATTTAAATTGACAAAGCGTGCCTGCTAATGCGCTAACGTGCATGCACACGTACGTCATTCCTGTGTACGACTATGCGCCAAAGCACGTTTGCCCCATTATTGTTCTGTCCATCCCCTGGTGCCATTATTGTTCTGTCCATCCCCTGGTGTCATTATTGTTATGTCCATCCCCTGGTGTCATTATTGTTATGTCCATCCCCCATTGTCATTATTGTTCTGTCCATCCCCTGGTGTCATTATTGTTCTGTCCATCCCCCATTGTCATTATTGTTCTGTCCATCCCCTGGTGTCATTATTGTTCTGTCCATCCCCTGGTGTCATTATTGTTCTGTCCATCCCCTGGTGTCATTATTGTTCTGTCCATCCCCTGGTGTCATTATTGTT